ATGTGAAATCTTAAATGGTTGAACTCAGAAGCAAAAAGTAGAATGGACCGGGGTGAGAGAAATAGCAAAATGCTGATGAAACAGTGTAAAGTTTCACATATGTAAGGTTAATAAATTCTTGAGATGTAATGTACAGGATGGTGGCTATAGTTAATAATATAGTACTGTGTACTTGAAATTTGCTAAGAAAAGTAGAAATTGTTATCATTCACAGAAAAAATGGTAACTAGGTAAGGTTACAGATATATTAAGTCGACGGTGGTAAATATTTACATTTTAAACATACATTAAAACATGTTGTACATATTAAATATATACAATTTTTAATTGTCAATTATATCTCAACAAAGGTGAGAAAAAATGCCCTCAAAGAAAATTTAGGCTCAGAAGGCTTCACTATGGAATGAAAACAAGACTTTTCAGAAAAAAATACATTTTTTTCACAAAGTCTTTTAATATTGAAGATGAGGGAATACTTTCCAACTCATTCTGTATTTCCACTATTACCCTGTTAGGAAAACCAAAACAAAAAGGATATTAACAGAAAAAAAGTTACAGATCAATATCCCTCATGAACATAAATCCAATAATTCTTCAGAACATGTTACCAAATCTAATTCAACTATATATGGAAAAGGTAACATATCATGATCAAGCGGAGTTTATCCTAGGAATGTAAGGTGGGCACAACTTTCAAAATTCCATCAGTGTAATTCACCATACTAACAAATTAGAAAAGCAAATTCATATGATCATTTCAATATGTGCAGAAAAGGCATTTAACAAAATTCAATATTTTTTCATGATAGTCTCTCAGCAAACTCAAGACAAGAGAAAAATTCTTCATCTTATTAAAGAGTAACTCATGAAAACCTGTAGTAAACATGATATTTAACGGTAAAAGACTAAGTGATTTTCCAAAGATCAATAACAAAGCAAACATATCAGCCCTCACCGCTTCTACTCAGCATTCAAGTAGAGATTCTAGTCAGTGAAATATAGCAAGAAAATAAATAAAACACTACACTGGAAAGAAATAAGTTAAACTGCCTCTATTCTCAGGTGACATGTTTATCTATTCAAAAAATCCAAAGGCGTCTATAAGGAGTAACTGCCCTAATGAGTGAGTTTAGGTTTCAGGATCAAAATGCAAACATCAATTGTATTTTTGTATACAAGCAACAAACAATTGGAAAGTCCCAGATGTTCAGGTAGCTGTTTAAGTACAACCTGGGCAACACAGCAAGGCCTTGTCTCTAAATTTGTTTTTAATTTAAAAAACTGTACCTGTATAATCACATTCAAAGTTTTGGAATATTCAAGTATAAAGCATACAAAAAATATACAAAACTTATAAACTGAAAACTTTAAAGTGCTAAGAGTAATTAAAGACCACTTAAGTAAGTGGAGAGATACACCATGTTATAGATGGGAAGTCTCAATGTTGTCATGTCAATTCTCCCCAAATTGATTCAAGATTCAACACAATGCCAATCAAATCTCAGCAGTCTTTTTGTGAACAGTCAACATATAAGATTTCCGTGACCAAATATGGGGGTTTCTCCCAACCACAAGGCAAGCAATCAGCTCTACAAGCAGATTCTAAAATTTATATGAAAATGCAAGTGAACCTAGAACAGGCAAAACAACTGATAAAGAAGAATGATTTTTAAGGACTAACATCTGATTCAAAATTTAATTACTGCATGCCTATCAGAATGGCTAAAATTTTAAAAATATCATGAGGATATAAAACGCTTGGAAGGATTTGGAGAAACTAAAGTTCTAACGTACTGCTAATGGGAATATAAATGGTACAGCATTATGGAAAAGAGTATAGTACTTTCTTAATTAAACATGTAATTCACCTTACTAACTTACCATATGACTAACTTACCAAATGACCCAGCAATTATATTCTTTTACTCCTCTTTATTCAAGATAAATGAAAATTTGTGTTCCACAAAAACTTGTATATGAATTCTTTTTAAAATGTCGTATCTGATTCTTAAGTTGTTATGAATTTCTGTTATTTAATTCTGATTTGTGTTGCTCTTTTGTGTCTTGAATCATTTTCTTAAAGTTTTTCTTAACTCATTTCCTTAAAAATCATTTAGAAACATTATATTAAAGTTGTGTTTATTTCTTGAATATATCTTCCCAGTTATTCTGTAGGATTATTATTCTGCTTCTTATTCACATTTTTTTCTCATGTTAGATTCATATGGGATTTTATCTTAATATTTTGTGTCTCTCATTTTCATGTGAAATTATTCTTCCTGGACTATGTGAAGAGATTTTGATTTAGATAGCTTTTATAACTTAATAGTTTCCCTTCAACCATTGTGTGTGTGTGTTGTTAAAAAAAAAATGAGAGTTTGTTTTCTGAGATTATCCAGTTCTTTCTCTCCAGCACTTTTATCCAGCGCATCCACTTCTTGCTCTATCATTCTTATTGTGATTCCATTCCAAGCAGTTCCTCCTCAGATTTGAGCCCTGCCCTGGAATGAAGGTCTGTTGGTTCAGTTTGAAAGTTAATAGGAAATCATCAGTTTCAGCTCCCTGGGGTCTTACTATGGGTCCCTTGCACTCAGCCACTGTTACAGTGAACTAAACCCATCAGTTGTGTTACATTAGCACACAGTGCTTTCTAGTGGATGTATGCTGCCTGTTTTGGGGTGCTTCTATTCGCAGGTCTGTCAGTGCTCTGCTGCTTCACTCTGCTTTCCTCTGCACAGTTGCAGATAACGCACAAATTCTTATGGGTCTTAATGGTTTATCTTATTTCCCTTGTATTTTGGGGTTCATAAGGATACATCATCACCTAAGCTTTTGTTTTGCTTTTGTAAATGTCATCCATAGGCTTTGGTTTTGATAACTATCCTGCTCCCATGCAGTGATTTGGAAAGAACCAAAATCTATAGTTCCACTGATGTTACCATATCTCACAAATCCCTTTCACCTCCATTTTTGATGTTTCCCCTCCCCCCACCCTTGATCATTTTAAAGATTTCATTCTATTGTTTTCTGGCTTCCATTGTTCTACTAAAAGCTATGTGAGTTTAGACGTAGCTTAAAACGTTAAAAACACACACTTCAACAATCAACGCATGAGGTTTCTGTGACCAAATATGTGGGTTTCTCCCAACTACCAAGTATGCCATCAGCTCTACAGCAGACACCACCAGGGTGTCCTCCAATTCAATTCTTTTTTTTTTAATTGCATTTTAGGTTTTGGGGTACATGTGAAGAACGTGCAAGATTGTTGCATAGGTACACACACAGCAGTGTGATTTGCCTTCCTCTCCAACACCTATATCTGGCATTTCTCCCCATGCTCTCTCTCCTCAACTCCCCACTCCCCCACTGTCCCTCCCCTATTTTCCCCCTACAGACCCCGGTGTGTAACACTCCTCTCCCTGTGGCCATTTGTTCTCATTGTTCAACACCCGCCTATGAGTGAGAACATGCAGTGATTCATTTTCTGTTCTTGTGTCAGTTTGCTGAGAATGATGGTTTCCAGGTTCATCCATGTCCCTACAAAGGACACGAACTCATCGTATTCAGCGCTATCCCCATCAAGCTACCAATGACCTTCTTCACTAAACTGGAAAAAAACCACCTTAAACTTCGTATGGAACCAAAAGAGAGCTCGCATAGCCAAGTCAATTCTAAGCAAAAAAAAAAAAAAAAAAAAAAAAAAAAAGCAGGAGGCCTCCAATTCAATTCTGACACTTTCTTCCTTTTGACGGCATCGGATCCCACAGAGAACTATTTCAAATTGAGCTTCCCACAGCACCCTTTCTGGGTCTGACTAATTTTCTAACATGGCCCACAGAACTCAGAGAAACACTTGTTACCTTTACCAGTTTATTGAACAAAGAAAACAGATGAAGAGATCACAGGGTGAGGTATGGGGGAGGAAAAGGAGCAGCCATGAGGGTGCCACTCTCTAGGACCCTCCACATGTTTAGTTATCTAACAGCTCTCCAACCCCAGTTCTTCCGGGGTTTTATGGAACCTTCATTACATAGGCATGATTGATTAAGCCAATGGCCTTTCATAATTGACTTAACTTTCAACCACTCTATCCTCACTGGAAGTTGAAGATGGGGCTGAAAGTCTCAATCCTCTAATCATGCCTTGGTTTTTTTCTATGACCAGCTTTCATCCGAAGCTACCTAAGAGCTACCAATAAATCAACTTGCTAGCATACAAAACAGTATTTCTTTGGAGATTCGAAGATTTTAAGAATTATATGCCAGGAAACAGAGACAAAGCCAAGTATATAATTTATACAATAAAATACATAGTGTGTGATGTTAAACATGAAATAGCAAAGTGCTGACTACCTTAATCACATTATGAATTTAGCTGGTTCAGGGATATGGATAGCCTCCATCTTCCTTTACTGTCAAATGTTTCAAGGATAAGTCTTGTCTTGTGTGACTGTGTGTGTGTGTGTATTTATGATCCTTCTTCTAGCAGGACTTTGAATTGCAAGCACAGTGACACTGAGGGAGATCCTCACTCTACCTTTTCGGTCTAGCTCCCATATTCCTGTGCCAACCTTTCACTTAAAAAATGTCCCTTAGGGAAAACTGGATGTGTGTTGTGAGACAAAGTAGCAAATGTAAGAAGCCATGTTTGTTCATTTCTGCTTGCCAGCAAAATTTAACAAAGCCTTTAACTTTCTAATGACGTGCAGCTCTGGAAGGATGAAAGTAAAACAAGCATACAGCACATGGACACCCACATCTCTTACCTGAGTCACTACATTCCTTAAAAGATAAATACACCTGGTCCTTGCCTTTTCCTACACATAACTTCTGACAGGATTAGTGATTATGTCTCTATAATCCATAACCAGATATATTCTTGCACCTAAACTATGATGTGATTTCGCTTTAATGTAGGTAACAGCTGAGCACATACTTGTAACCGGCTGAAACATGGCTGTTTGCTGCCCAGGGGCCGAAAACTCAAGAAGTGAGGTGTGGTGAAAGGAAAGCAGTTTTATTCATCGAATGCCAGCAACTGGGAAACCGCCAGGCTTATCTCTTTAAAAGACCATTTTAGGTGTTTGGATGAGGGGAGGGGTTTAAAAGTAGAGGTTTGGTAGGAGAAACACACAGAAGTAGCACAGGGTGCAGCTCTCCATGTCTTTCTCCAAGTGTTATCTTGAATTATTGTCCACCTGGAGTTCCAGCTGCTCATATCCAGCTGGTACCATGTCAGTTGTAGCCGGGTTGTAGATAATCCATCTTGAGGCAATTTCCAAGTAGAAGAGAATCCCACAGCTGGGCTTCCATGCCTGGTTTGCTATAAAATAACTCCCTGGAATTTTTTTAAAAAGTATGCATTTAGATAAGTGTGCATAGTGTAAGGAAGTGTCTGGTGGGAAAGAGAGGAGACTAGAATTTCAAAGCACATTTCAAGGCTATATTTTAAGTCTAAGAAAAAATGTTTCTACAGTCTATTTCAGCGTCACATCTTAAGAGTAGAGAGAAAGGAGAAAAAAAGTTTTAAAATGCATTTCATACATACGAAACTTTCACAACCTGTATATATGAACTGAAACACTGTTTTGGAGAAGTCTGAAAGAAACTCCCTGAGAGACTCCTCTCAGGCTATAATCATCTACAGTCCTCAGTAAGACTTCTGAATGAAACTAACTTTAATTCCTAAAAAATCTTATTTTTCTTTCTTTAGTCAACAATGTCTTTGGATTCTCTGGATTTCAGTTTGTCATGCCAGCCCATGTAGCAGCTTTTAGAAAGCTCACTTTGTCTATTCATTTAGTTAAATCTAGTAGAGCTTTTCTACTTATGGCAAACCAAGTCTTCATCCAGTAACCCCAAAAAGGAAAGACTGATTAACAATTCAGCTAGGAAGAATTGTTCTCTTTTGAAATTTTAGTTGGTATATAAGTTTCTTAGCCTCTTCACCTATGCAATGTCTTTGAAAATATAATCTTATAATGTATTCCTTTTTATAGTTGTTTAAACAGAGGAAAGAAATAGCTTCCCACTACCTACTCTATTTCAATACAAAATAAAATTCTCTATGAGCCTATCTTGTCTCTTCTTTTCTTTTTGGAGTGGAGCATTCTACTTATTCTGTCAACAGCTGAAGGGTGTTCTAACGTAACACATTATTATTGTATTTCTACCATTGTCATATATTTATATACATTTTTGGTTCATTTTACATATTATTGAGTACATAACATTTAATGAGATGGTAAAAACTTGTATCTTGGCTACTGACAGTATCATGCCACTCTTCTCAGGTTTCCATAGTCAATTGCTGGATACTTGGTCATTTCTCTACAGCTTCTTTTAAGGTCCCTTCTGTTTTTGCTACTTTACATTGTGATTTTAAGAAGTATTGTAATTTTTTTTTCTCTCTGCTTGAGATTCATTGAGATTCCTGAATCTGCACACACTCATCTATCATTTCTAGAAAATTCGTATCAATTATCTTCTTAAATATTATCTCTATTTCATTCTGCCCTATTCCTTCTCTGATTAGACAAATATTTGATTTTCTCCATCTCCTCCTCTCTTTAGCTTTTTTCTGTATTTTCCGTTTCTTTTTCTCTCTCTTTTGCATTCTACGTATTTTTTCAATTCTATCTTCCAGTTCAAAAATCCTTTTGGGTGGATCTATCAGCTATTAAGCTCATTCATAAATTTTTAACTATATATATTTTTATTTCTGGCTGTTCTCTGATTCTATTTCTTGTTCATTTCTGAAGTTATTGTTACATTGTCAGTTCCTTTTATTTCTATAAAACTATTGTATTTGATAAATTTCAATCCTTTAGGGGTTTAATTCCACTGTTATTTGTTAGCTTTCCTTCGTAGTATTTTATACCTTTCTTTTTTTTCTGAGAGATCACATTTCCTGCAACTTTATCTATTGGTATCCTTTGAAGCCTAGGCTGAAGTCGATATATGTATGTATGTATGTATGTATGTACGTATGTATGCTTTTATCAGGCAATTTTAAAAGAGCACTTTACACTAAATTCTTACTTAAGACTTTTAAAATTTTTCTTAACAATCTCTAGAGTGTGATTCTTGACTACCAAACTGAGTAAAGCCTGGCTTTTTTTCTTCTTTACTTACACCTGAGACTTGAAGCAAGCAATGGTCCTGGCAGTCTTCTGTAGAGGAAGAAGGGAAAAGAAGCAGAAGCAGGTTTATTTCTACTTCATTTTTATAACAAGGATATAACTCTTTGCTTTCCCAGCTTAAAAAAGGAAGGGAGGGCAAATCTTCTCAACAGTTGCACCTCGGGCAGATTCAGGAATTTTTATCTTTTCTCTTGCTCATGCTGAAAACTTGAGCACAAGATCATTTCAAGATGATAGCCATCTCAGTGTTCCAGCTTTGGAGCTAAAGATTCTTACTTTCTCATAGTTTTTGTCCCCTGAGTATTTCTGATGTTCTTGCATTAGTGAATGTATAAAAAGTTTTAAAGAATTGTATCCTATGTTTTCAATTGTTTTCCATGTGATAGTTGATCAGGGTACCTAGTATGAAAAAGTATTGAATACAGATGCTAACAGCATCTTTAACATAATAATTTTGAAAAGCTCTGCGAGCATCCAAAGAGGAAACACTGATAACCTGTAGAGAAACAAAATTCACTCTGGCTTTCAGCTTCTCTTTGGCAATACCAAACACCTGAAAATAGCAGAGTTATACCTAAAGAAGAATTTTGAGAGAAAGAGATTTTTGACTCAAAATTTGATGCCCAGGTAAGTTGTCATTCAAGAGAGACACCTTAGATCTACAAGAATTCAGAAAGCATGTCAACTCTAGATAAAATTAAGAAATTGAAATTAGTAAATTATGTTATGTTGACAGTGAGGACCAGAGAAAATAAACATATGATTAAGCAGAAATATTGCAAATATGGTCACAAACTGAACATAAATTTCAAAAATTATTTCCAGAGAGTATATATAACATGAAAGCTTTAAGTTTAATATTAATAATGTGATTTTAATTCTCCTGATTATATTATTAAAATCTAAAAAGAAGAATGAGCTATCAGAAGAAATATAAGGGGCCGGGCGCGGTGGCTCAAGCCTGTAATCCCAGCACTTTGGGAGGCCGAGGCGGGTGGATCACGAGGTCAAGAGATCGAGACCAGCCTGGTCAACATGGTGAAACCCCGTCTCTACTAAAAAAAAATACAAAAAATTAGCTGGGCATGGTGGCGTGTGCCTGTAATCCCAGCTACTCAGGAGGCTGAGGCAGGAGAATTGCCTGAACCCAGGAGGCGGAGGTTGCGGTGAGCCAAGATCGTGCCATTGCACTCCAGCCTGGGTTAACAAGAGCGAAACTCCGTCTCAAAAAAAAAAAAAAAAAAAAAAAAAAAAAAAAAAAAAAAAAAAAAAAAAAGAAGAAATATAAGATGAATTTCTATTAATTAAGCTGTCACTCACACAAATTTATTATTTTACAACTCTGTATGTCAGAAGTCCAATACAGATCTCACTGAGCTAAAACAAGTGTGTCAGAAGGATCATGTTCCTTTCTGGAAGTTTTAGAGGAAAATATCTTTCCTTCCCTTTCTAGCTTCTAGAGGCTACCCACCATCATTGGCTTGTAAACCCCTTTCTCCATAGTCAAAGTGAGCAACAGGGAGTCGAGTCTTTCTCACATCACATCACTCTAACCTCTTCTTCTGTAGCCTTTCCTACTTTTTAGGAAGTTTGAGATTACAACTCATTTGGATGTTCAGAAAAATCCCTATTTAAATGTCTACTAATTAGCAATCTTAATTCTATATGCAACTTTACATCCCCTTTGCCATGTAACAGAATATTCAGAGTTCCAGAAATTAAGATGTAGAAATACTTGGGTAAACCTTATTCTACATATCATAGTCTAGAATCTGGCTGCCAAAGATTAATGTTACTACAAATGTTTGCTCTATCTCAAGGTCTTCAACATTTCTGAACCCATTATAGCATCAATTCAAATCCTCAAATCTCATCTAAATCTCAACATCTAAATAATCTAAATTAGGTATGAGTGAGATTCTGGATATGATTTTACCTTGTAACACAGTTTTCTTTATCTGTGACCAATAAAACTAAAAAAGTTGACAATATGGATTTCATTTTACAAATAAGACTTAGAAAGTTAAATACCTTTCCTAAAACCACATCCTTATTAAGTGTTGGAAATACTAATCTGTTTTCAACTCTGAAGTTCATTGTGTGTGTGTTTGTGTGTGTGTGTATACACACACACACATGTATTTTGAAATGGAGTTTTTGGTTATTGCATCTTCAAATACTGTTTCTTTCCCTTTTTCCTAACTCCTCTCCTTCTGTTACTCTAATATGTGTATGCTGGTAACCATGATACTGTTCACTTGGTATCTGAGTATTTTTGTTTATTCATTTTTGTCCAGCTCCTTAGACTAGATGATCTAAACTAACCTATATCCAAATTCTCTTTTACTATCAGGACTAACCTTCTATTGAATCACTATAGTAAATTTTTTAGTCGTTACTGTAATTTCCAATTCGAGGATTTTACTTTTTATTTCTTTATTTGTAATATTTGCTGAGATTATCTTTATAGTAATACTCCACTCTCAGTACTAATTATCTGTATTAGTTTGTTCTTGTATTGCTATAAAGAAATGCCTGAGACTGAGAAATTTATAGGAAAAGAGGTTTAATTGGCTCATGGTTCTGCAAGTTGTCCGGGAAGCATAATGTCTGGTGAGGCTTCAGGAAGTTTTACTTACGGTGGAAGGCAAAGCAGGAGGTTCCACTTCACATGGCAAAAGCAGGGAAAGAGAGAAAGAGTTAGGGAGGGGTGGTTCCACAGACTTTTAAATGACCATCAGATGTCATGTGAAATTAGAGCAAGACCTTACCTATTACCAAGGGAATGACCCAAGCCATTAATGAAGGATACACTCCCATAATCCAAACACTTGCCACCAGGAGCCACTTGCAAGAGTGTGTGTTATATTTCACCATGAGATTTGGGCAGGGACAAATATCTAAAATATAATACCACCTGAGGCTGGAAAGGTAAACAGAAGCCCAACGACACAGGCAGCCTGAGAGACAGCTGTAAGGATGATGGGAATGTTTATCCAATGCCTATACACCCATTGTATCTTGGAAGTAAGTAACTTGATTTTATTTTACAGGTTCATAACTGGAAGGGATTTGTATTGTCTCGGATGAAACTTTGGAGCCAAATCGGGAAATGTCAAGATTTGGGGGGACTGTTGAGAAGTCTAACTGTATTCTGCAATGTAAGAAGAACATGAGATTTGGGAGGAGCCAGGAACGGAATTATATAGTTTGGATATTTGTTCCTGCCCAAATCTTATGTTGAAATGTAATCCCTAATCATGAAGATGGGGCCTGGTGGGAGGTATTTAGGTCATGGGGGCAGATTGCTCATGAACAGCATGTGCCATTCCCTGGGTGATGAGTGAGCTCCCCAGTTGAGTTCACATGAAATCTGGTCATTTAAAGGTGTGGGCACCTCCCCTACCACTTGCTCCTGCTTGTAACATGTGAAGTACAAGCTCCCACTTTGCCTTCTGCCATGAGTTAAAGCTTCCTGAGCCCTTCCTGTACAGCCTGCAGAAATGTGAGCCAATTAAACCTCTTTTCTTATAAATACTAGTCTGAGAAATACCAGTCTCAGGTATTTCTTTACAGCAATGCAAGAATGTCCTAATACATCTGGCATTCTGAGCCATGTTGGTCAGGCTGGTCTCAAAATCCTGACCTCAAGGGATCCACCTGCTTTGGCCTCTCAAAGTACTGAGATTACAGGCACAAGCCATCATGCTTAGCCCAAAATAATGGAGCTTAATTAAACTTATTTGAATGTTTTTATTTTAAGAAATATTTTTAAATGCAGAAGCAGAGAGTACTATGATCAACATTCATTTTGTAACAAAAATAATTGACAGTTGTTTTATGTTAACATACTTAATTAAGTCCTTTGTTAACAACAAATAAGATAGTCAAAGTTAAAGCATATTTTGATATATATGGGGGTAAAGAAGGAAGGGAAGATATATTCGACGTCTATGTAAAATATACATGTAAATGCCAGACAGTTTTTCAAACAGTGGGTGGTAGCACTGAAGTGTTGAAATGGAAATGCAAGTGGAGTTGGGATTGAAACAGGCTGTTTGTGTATCACTGTTTTTCTGATTCATAAGAATGATTTATTTTTAGTTTCTCAAAATACCCAAGGGAGGAACATAAATTCCTATATATAATGTAACTCTGTTTTTTAACAAATATAAACATATGCTCTTGGTGACAGGAAATACTGAAAATAAATTTACAAAAGAGTTATTTTAGCCATTCAGTGCTTATTGCTGGGTGGTAGAATTTTTGTTGATTTTGTTATTAATAATACTTCTGCATTTTCCAAATTATCTACCATATTCTGATTGTAAATGGTACAGATGAAAAACTAGAAACAAACATTAAAATTATTTAAAACATTTAGTTCACTAACAATCCTGGTAATGTTGCATTGATACTAGGATGCTGAACACAACAGATTTGGTCACAACTAAAACTTTTTAGGGCTCTCCACTTCTTCATTTCCAATTGTGTGTGAAAATCTTTTAGGGTCTATTACTTAATTACCAAATTGTAAATGGGTACCACCTTTTGGAAAGCAACCGGCTCTATATAGCTCTAAAATCTTAAAGTTATTTAAAAAGAGTGATGCCCTTTACCCCAGAACTGTTGCTTTCCACAAATTTTTCTAAAGGGGGAAATTAGAAATAAGGAAAATAAAATACAAGTTGATCATTGTAAGATACATATAATAAAGTTAGGGAAATTCAAGAAAGGTTACATTACAGTGGATTCATTCAAGAGAATACTGTCATTTGTAATAATGATTATGAAACAAAATAGAAAAATATTCATGTTAAGTTAAATGAAGAAGAAAACAAGTATCTATGTTGGGATTACAATATAATAATTTAATAATTCTAGGTAGAAGAAGAGAACGTAATATGAAAAACTAAAAAGTCTTTTTTTCAGGGGTAGGAGGATGTGAGCCAGATCTCTAAATAACCTTGAGACCAATGGAAACTGTGTATAGATTTTTAGGTTTACTTACAAGCTGCTTATTTTAAGATCCTTCAGTGTATGTTATCAAAAAGTGTTTGCTTTTCTTTCAAACGCCCCACATTTGGGAAATATGCAAGTTGGAGCCAATGCATTACTGTAATTTTTATAATGCACTTGAAGTTTTACAAGCTGTTCCAGGAGTGGAGTACTGAGTATTGAGAAATCGTTTAAGTGGGAGCTCATATGAAATATTAACAATTACCCCAGGGCCTTAGAGCAATTGTAATCATTTCTGGCACAGCATCAGATCCATCATTTTGTTCTTCAGATTTTCACGTGCTTTGTATTTTCAAAGTAATGTGAACTCAACTGTTCAGTTATTAAACTTGTTCCCGAGAGGAGGGCACTGGAGACACAGACACGCGGAGAGGTTCGTGCACTGTTCCTCTCCGCGTTTACTAAGCTCACAGCCCTATCCTGACGATGCGGAAACACCGTACGATTGCACACCTACTGTGCACAGCTCAGGGCTCAGAAGATACCCACCGGGCTGCCTAAGGCGCTGCCTCAAGGCAGGGAAGGAGGACGCCGGGCCGCAGGGGCTGAGAGGAGACGCGCGCTGCCAGGGCGGGCTGGGGAGGTCGGGAGGCAGCTGTCAGCCTCCCGCACGCCTTCAGTGGCTGCCCCGCGCATTGTGCATTTCTCCTCCGCTGCTGTCTGGGCTCCAGCTCCGACCCCCGGCGGCTACCAGCGGCAGCAGTCCGACCCGGGGCTAGCGCCGGCCTCCTACCGCTTCCTCCGCCGCTTTCCTTCTCCGCTGCGCCTGCGCGACCGGAAAATTCGCGAAGGTTCCTGAAACGCCACTGAGCGTTTCCGGAAGCCGGCAGTCGCCTGGGTCGTCAGACCGGTGCTGGGGACGCGGGAGCGGCCGACGCATCCTCTCGCCGGTCCCTGTGTTTTGGCCTTGCGCGTGACGGTGGGAACGGAAAATGTCCTTGCTGTGCTACAACCGCGGCTGCGGGCAGCGCTTCGATCCCGAGACCAATTCCGACGGTAAGAGGCACGCGCCGCCCGCCCGCCCCCCGCTCTCCGCCTCCTCGGCGGGGGAGGCCCCCTGCGCCGCGGGGTGTCCGCGCACCTCCTGCAGCCGTCCTCGCGCGGCCCCGGGCCCGGGCCCCTCCTGGGCCTCCCCGGGCAGCGCGCACAGCCCGCCGGCGCCCCGCCTGCTGCGCCGCGTTCCCTTGGCTGCGGCCCGGCCCCGGCGCCCGGCTGCCCTCTGCCTCTGCGGAGAGGGACGCTCCCCTGCATCCACGTGTTTCCCCGGTCGTCCCCGCGCCCGTTTTGAGTCGCCTGGAATTTAGAACACACACCTTTCTCCTCCGGCCCCCTAGTCTCTGGGGAAGCAGAAGTTAACGAGCTGCTGGTGGGCTTGCTTTGCAGTCCCGCGAGTAGTGTTAGCTGTGATTGCCTGCGCAGGGCGGGGGTCGGGGGTCGGGACTTAGGGGGTAAGCCCGGCCTCTTAGAAGTTTGTGTTCAGTCGATCCGCTGTTAGAAACCTCTTGCAAGTGTTCTAGGTGAGGAACATGACTCTGTATCTTTACACTGTTTTGATAGGTGCATCCTGGTGGTACGTTAGTTATCTTTGTCTCACTGGCGGCCTTTGTTGGGTATTCTTTTTGTGGTCTCCACGTTTTAATGTCGTTGCTGACTCCGGTATAGAATGATCGAATGTCCTCTACAGCATCTAAATGTCGAGTCAAGGATCCAAAGTGAAAGTGACTACTAGGTGAAGGACGGGAAGTGATCAATGAATTGAGATTCTGATTGACGAAGAAGTGAGATGATTCCTTGCGTGTTGTGAGAAGTGACAGCGCGTTTTCAGATTGAACTAGCATTTAGTTTATGTCTTCTTCATGCTAGACATGATCGCTTTATCATATTTAATCTTCATAACAACCGTGGGAAGCATGCGGTATTAATTAGATCCATTTGATTGAGAAGCTCAGTTCAGTGACGTGGTATTAATATCCTTCATCATTGTGGAGAAGATGAAAACTGATGCCTTTTAAACCCTTCACCTCTTAGATATTTGAAATACTTAAGTTTGGCACACAGGTTAATTGATGGCGTTATTAAAAATAAGACCATTGATACAAGGGTTTAAGGAAAAGGTAAATCCAACCTATGCAATACTCAAGTTAGGGACACTGACATTTTTATGATGCAGATATGATGCTACTCAAGAGGAACATTGTGAGATTTCAGTGGATGACAAACTTGAGTAATGATTTGAAAGCCCTTTGATTTTGGTAGCCTATGTAAAAAATAATTGGTCGTTTATGTCTGCAGGTATTTTACTTTAATATCGAATATAGGGGAAAGGCTGATGCTTTGCTATATGGGACAATAAAGTTGAGGGGAGATAGCCATTTGTTGGAAGTCTGTAGCCTTGTGTAATTTGGTGCAGTGCCTAGGAAAAGAGAAAATGACCCAGAAAAAAAAAGAATAAACAGTCTCAAGGATTGGGTGGTCAGCAGTACCCAATACAGCAGAGAAATTCCAGTAAAATCGTTGAAACTTCAGTAACATCGCTACAAGTATATTTACTTAAGCGAAATGAGGGTTTTTTAGAGACTTAGAATACATTTTTCAAGTAAGTTGGTTAAGTAAATGTAAGGAGAAGAAAATGGAGATAGGAGTAGGAGACAACTAAATAGTAAGGTTGGTTGGTTTTATAGGAAAAGGTTTGACGTTGTACAGTTGAGAGAAATCAGTTAAAGAATTAAATACACAAGCAAGCTCCATTTTGCATGAAGCCAGATGATGGATCTGCCATCCTTAAATATCTTTTGAAATCAACACTAAATGCTTTTTTTTCTTGGTGCTATGGCCTAATTACCGTGCTTGTTGACTTAGTGTCTCATGATTTTTTCCGCTTACAGACAGAAATTAGACTTCCTTTTAAGCTGATAGAACATTTTAACTTGTAACACAAGTTAAAGGGTGTTTGAGGGAGATGCATTTGGCAACTTGCATATGTAAACACTTACTCTAGAATACACAGAGCTTCACAAACAGTATTTTACTTAATCCACATAGATGAGGAAAACCGAAGGAACTAGTAGCAAGCGGCAGTGAGAAATTTAGCCAGGGTCAGACCCAATGTTAGAAGCCCTGGATAGTTAATAGCTACTACTGTGTTGTAGCTTCTTACCCATAAAATATTAATTTTACCAAAACTCTTAAAACTGATCAAGGATAAAGAATGTCCAGCTGCTTATTACTTACTGGTTTTGAAAGCACTGGTTTTCTAATTGTGTTCATACTAGTTGTATGGTTTGGATCTGACTCATTCCTGCTCCCATGCTGCCAAAATTGACTAGTATTGTGACATTTTATGCCTCTGACTGTGTTAAACATGGTACATTTTATTGTCTCTGACTACCTTAAATTTGGTATTTGAAAATACTGTATCTATTCTCTATTTTCATTCCCCTCTTAACTTCATGGCCTTCTGCATATCCATTTCTACTTCCAGTCTCCTTTTCCAGCCCTCAATTCCACAATTACCCTTTATTAATAACATCTTTCTGATTCATGGGTTTACTTACTGTATCAGAAAGTTACCTAACACTTTGTTTCTACATTAGCTAGTATCCACACAGCACATGGTTACCAAGGAAGCAATACTGGCTAGTAGTACAGGGTAGGGAGATACCTGTGAGCACCAGGACTTAATTATTTTGAGGCAACACTAGGAATCAGGTGATAGAGCAGAGGTGTCCAATCTTGGCTTCCCTGGGCCACACTGGAAGAAGAATTGGGCCATACGTGAAGTATACTAACACTAGTGATAGCTAATGAGCCTAAAAAATATTTTTTTATAATGTTTTAAGAAACTACGAATTTGTGTTGGGCTACATGCAGAGAGTCATTCTGGGTGGCATGTTGGACAGGGTTGTTGTAGAACATTGAAAGCTCAATAGACTTGAAAGGTTGAAAGATGCTTTATAAGCAGATTGCAGAGGCGTGAAGCTGTTACCTGATTTTTAAAAATATAATACTCCTGGCCAGGGCGCAGTGGCTCACGCCTATAATCCCAGCACTTTGGGAGGCTGAGGTGGGTGGATCACGAGGTCGAGAGATCGAGACCATCTTGGTCAACAAGGTGAAACCCCGTCTCTACTAAAAGTACAAAAATTAGCCGGGCGTGGCGGCGCGTGCCTGTAATCCCAGCTACTCGGGAGGCTGAGGCAGGAGAATTGCTTGAACCCAGGAGGCGGAGGTTGCGGTGAGCCGAGATCGTGCCACTGCACTCCAGCCTGGGTAACAACAGCGAAACTCTGTCTCAAAAAAAAATAATAATAATAATAATAATACTCCATCTTGCAAGTTATAATAAACCCATTTATATAAAAGAATTAAGTAAAAATTGATTGTGTAATGGGGAGGGAAGTATAGAATAACACTCAGTGAGAATCCTGAAAATAGACTGTAGAACTTTAGACCTTTTTTTTTGGAGTGTGGGGACAGTCGCTTGCCCTGTTGCCAAGGCTGGAGTGCCATGGTGTGATCTCAGCTCACTGCAACCTCGGCCTCCCAGGTTCAAGCGATTCTCCTGCCTCAGCCTCCCAAATAACTGGGACTACAGGCATTCACTACCACACCTCACTAATTTTTGTATGCTTAGTAGAGTTGGGGTTTCACCTTGTAGGCCAGGCTGATCTCTATCTCCTGACCTCAGGTGATCCACCCACCTCAGCCTCCCAAAGTGCTGAGATTACAAGCATGAGCCACTGGACACCAGCCTAGACGTCCTTTTAGTGAGGTTTGTACCTACGAATTGACTGCTGTCTAGGAAAGTTAAATTAGCAATTAGATACTCTGAAAAAATTTTACAATATTTAAAAGGTTGAGCCTGTTCTTACAAAATATCTATTAGAGAATCTCTTGTGAAACCTTTATATATTAATGCATGCAAGAATTCTTAAGAGTTTGATAGTACATCTGTAAAAGCAGATTTGAAAAATGAAGGTCAAAATTTAGGGGTGTGAAGTTTTGTTACTAAACAAGTTTTACTACCAAGATTAGAGGAATATAAAATATAATTGTTAAACAATTCTGTATTGTTTTTATCCATAGCCATCATACTCCTGAATTAGAATTTTTAATACATTGCACTTCATGCTGCACATCAAACTCAGTCATTTGTACCTTTTTAACATAACCTGTGTTTGGAAAAGGATTAAAGGTGAACACCTTAAGGTGATAATCATGTATATATTTTTCTTCATTATAATGAGTGGTACTTTTTTTCTTCTCTATTTTCTCCAGAGGCTTGCACATACCACCCAGGTGTTCCAGTCTTTCATGATGCCTTAAAGGTAGGAACTGTATTTTCATTTCCTTCATATCTGTGTGGTAAATTGAGATGTAATACTAAATCTTTTTTCTCAGCTAGTGACTTTGTTCTTAATGACCTTTGGGGAGGTGCTTTAAGTGCATACTCCACTAAAGGCAAAGAAGACAGTAGATGGTGATCTTAAGGTCTTTTCCAGTAATAAAATTGTATTATTTCTATTTTAATTTTTTTTTTTTTTTTTTTTTTTTTTTTTTGAGATGGAGTCTCACTGTGTGGCCCGGGTTGGAGTGCAGTGGTGCAGTCTTGGTTCCCTGCAGCCTCCACCTCCCAGGTTCAAGCGATTCTGCCTCAGCCTCCCGAGGAGCTGGGATTACAGGAGTCCACCACCACATCCAGCTAATTTTTGTATTTTCAGTAGCGATGGGGTTTAACCATATTGGCCAGGCTCATCTTGAACTCCTGACCTCAGATGATCCACCTGCCTCAGCTTCCCAAAGTGCTGAGATTATAGGTGTGAGCCACCATGTCTGGCCTTAATTCTCATTTTCAACACCCCTTTCTTCACTTTTGTAATATTTTGGAAAAATATAGAGTGGTTGTATTGAATCTCAGTCTGTCACTGCTAATAATGGCTCTGAAGTTTAGAAAAGATTGTTATATTAGAAATACTTAATGCCAGTCTCAGGACAAACATGTAAGTTTAGAGTGTATTTTTCCTTAAAAGAAGTGTTACCTATTTTCCAGCTATACTTCTTTGAATTAGTCAAATGTTGCTTGACTAGATTTTTGCTGGTCATCTTTTTAAAATTCATGATAATATGATAAAGAGTTTCCTTTGTATATCTCAAAAGAAAATGCTATAGTGGAGCTGCCATGCTTTTAGGTACTATTACCTTGGTTCAGGAACATAAGTAGTATTAACGTGTTTAAATATTGTTGGTGCCCTTCAAGTGTCTAGTTATACCTTCCAGAGAGTAGTAGTTAGATTCTTTTGGCTTCACTGTTATACCACCAAACCTAACCAAAGATGTATTAGTCTGGTTAGTTCTGAGTGAGGAAAACAGAGCAGGCATTCAGCAGGGCAAGTTGAGACCTTACTCCTCCTTACGTATTTTTAGTTTTACGAGTCTTTGTGGTGGTGGAAACTGTGGTGCTGTGGTGCCATTGCTCTTTTTTTCTCTCACCCGCACTGTTAATCATTTCAAGTCTTAATGATTTCACTTTGAAGTATTTTTGCTTCTCTCCTGTAGTTGCAGTGTTTATTATTGTCTCTATTTTCTAACCATATCTTAAAGTCCTGGACTTTCCAAGATTATTGGATTTCACAGCCCAGAAGATTTCAGATAAAATGTATATATACATCAATATAGGGATACTAGGTTCTGTTTGACCAAGGAAGAAGTTAAACATTGCATTGACAAAAGAAAGACTATTTTAATATTAAAAGGGGCATATTCATAGAAAAGGGCAGTTTTGCTGAAGAAAGACAGCTAGCAACCTTCTATCACATGACTTAAATTTACCTTTCCTTTTCTCATTGTACTGAGGACTAGCATAGAATCCAGATTGGCATTTGGGAGCAGCTGGCCTACCTATGTCTTGTTTTACATGTATGTATCATAGTATCTGACATAATTCAGTACATGATTAAGACAGTAAAACTTTTTCTCTATAGAATAACTTTTCTGTTGACTGTATTATTGATGCTATTTAAACCCTGTATTTAAGGTAGTAATTGATCTACATCTCAATTCACAGTAAAAGAGAACTAAATTTGAAAATAAAGGAAAATTTGAATTACAGGATATTTGAAATTTCCTCTAAAGAAAAGGAACCTATAAGTGCATACTGTGGAAAAAATTACTGCCAAATTTTTATGCAGGCTATTGGAAAATCAGAGAGGTCCAGGTAGATATGCGCAAAGTTGCTTCTTAATCTGAATTAAGGCCCAAATCTTAATCTGAAGTTCCAAGTTTTGAGACTTTGCGTTTTTGTTTCTCTTTTCTCTATAATACATTGGAATTAAGAGATGATAATTATTAAGGCCATTTTTTGGTAAGCCACTTGATAGTTTGTTCAGAAATTACAAATAGTAATACAATTTCTGTGCCTTTATGCTTCTCACTGAAAAGATCACTTCACCGTCAGAGACTTAATAGTGCATTGGCTGCTGTGTTAATCTGTGTTGTTCTGAAAATAGAATGTTTATTGTGAAACTAAAATGGATTTTGTTTAAAAACTAAGTTATAGTTATTATCTTTAACAGATTCAAAAGTAAAATACCTATACATATTTTGAATATTCCTTAAATATGTTATAATTTTAGGAATTATACAGTGTTTTTCTTCTAAAAAGCCGGACATTGTTGAAAACAGAAGCAGTTTTTGTTTTATAAACGTGCTTCCTTAGGCCACAGCACAAATCACTTAAACACTGGTTAATTGGTTTTTTAAAAATCAAAGACTAAAGTTCATTTCACTTGATTAAGTGAATTATATACAACACTAAAATTTTGCACTCTGTTTACATGCAAGTTACTGCAGGATACAAGTAGATAAGTGCAAGTAGAATGTTTTAGTGAGTCATGGCTCCCATGCAAATAGAGTTTTTAATGTCTTTCTCATATTTTTCACAGGGTTGGTCGTGCTGTAAGAGAAGAACAACTGATTTTTCTGATTTCTTAAGTATTGTTGTAAGTACTAATATTTCTAGATTATCTCCCTAAAAGTACACATTATAGAAAGCTTCAGATTTGAGGAGTCTGATTTCTGATATTGATTAATTGGTCTTCATCAGCTTGCAGATAACACGTTTTAAAAAGCAGCTCATCTCCCTTCCACAGCTTCTGAAATAAAGAATCTGTTTTGAAGCTTACATTTTAAGGTATTAGTTACTCGCTTGTGATTTTAGATTTGTTTTTTCTGTTATACTGAAAGAACATCAAGAAGGAAAAAGTGATATACAACAAGTTAAAGCCTTTTCAGTTAGGAATGATGAAGTTTTAGCTAATATAAGATGCTATTGAATACATAATTTTGTATACCACTAAGAAAGAAAACTAAAGCTGCTAACAAACTGATAAGCTATTGATTGTATCATTTCAGAGGTGTTAAAAGTGTATATGATAATTCAATAGAACATAGTAGAAAAGTAGCTAACATTTGTTGAAGGTTATCACCTGCCAAATGTGCCAGACATTTTATTATTTAACCTTCTCAGAAAATACCTTATGTGACATTGCCTCCATTTTACAAATGAGGAAATGAAGGTTTAAAAAAATTATCTTCCTTAAGGTCATATAACTAATAACTAGGTTGAGAACTGAGTCTCACATTGAGGACTTTTTGAGTAACAGATATTTCTGTATAACTAGTTTTTACGGTTCTCTGTGAGGTTCTCCAGAATTATTCTAATGTAAACAAGAAGTTTATGCTATATGTTTAATAGAATAAGTAGATGTTTATGACATGTAATTCAAAGGCTTTTTTAAAAGCCTTCATTCATATAGCACATTTGGTATTCTGTTTTTAATTTCTTAGAATCAAAATAGTGAAACTGGAGAAAACGTGAAACAGAATTTATCAGTAAAGAACTGAAAAGATAGTGTTTCTGTCATCACGTGTGAAATAGATAGCTCTTAATGTCTTTCACTAACAGGGCTGTACAAAAGGTAGACATAATAGTGAGAAGCCACCTGAGCCAGTCAAACCTGAAGTCAAGACTACTGAGAAGAAGGAACTATCTGAATTGAAACCGAAATTTCGGGAACACATCATTCAAGCCCCTAAGCCAGTAGAAGCTATAAAAAGGCCGAGGTATACTTTATACAGTTACCTATTTTTGTCACACTTGAATAATAGTATTTGTTCATGGTACTTTGTGATTTAGCATGATACCATTTGTAGCTGCTATGTAGACCATCAAACATTGAATCATTTGGTTTCTCCCTTAAATCTGCCTTAAATTGTTGTTTCTCTTCAACTTGAGAGCATGTGCACAATACAGCTTCATAGCAGATTCACATACTGTACTGTCATAATTACAGAGACATGTATCATCAGGGTGGGGGAGTCACACATTTTTCTTGGGCCTTGGAGTGCATCTTTTTCACTGTGGCATGGTGAAATTCTCTGAAGCCATTTTCCTTGACATGGAATGAGTTTGAAGTGGAAAAGAATGCAGAGGCCTAATCACGCATCTTTACTTTCAGATGCCTGAAAATTGCTGTTCATCTCATTACCACTGGTGAATTTTTAATGCATTTGATTTGGATGGCATATTTGTGAAAGTAGTCTTAAAAGAACTTTTGCTCATTGTACAATAGAATTGTACAGATTCTTCATACTTGCCTTCTGATAACCAGACTCTATTCCCACACATGTATACTGAGTACCTGTGTTGAACCAGGTCTTCTTCCTGCTGCACTCGTGCTGCAATTGCTTTAGAATCAAACTACAGAACTTAAAAAAAACAGGTGATTTTTTTGGGATGCAAATAGGCACCTTCTGAAATTTTTATTCGTGATATGAACTCATGCTTTTCTCCTTATTGTCTATTGATCCTAATTAAATTTGTAAAGTATTGAATAATATAGAACCAAGATAAGAACCCTTGAGACTTTAGACATTAATTTGTTCATTAGCAGTCTGAAGATTATTGCCAAGTAAACTCCTCAGGATGAGTTTATTCTCTCTCCATCTTATTCATAGTCAGAGAGACTACTGAATGCCATGTTGGCCAATTTAGCAGAAAAATAATTGGGAAAAGACAAAAGTGTCATGACTCATTCTTCATCTATTTAGTGATATAATAGAGTCTGTACTATAATACTATGAGTTAATTTTTTCTTTAATGAGCTATTATTTTACTTAAAGGGCAGTGAGAGGCGAGGCACTATGGCTCAATCCCATAATCCAGCACTTTGGGAAGCTGAGGAGGGAGGATCCTTTGAGCCCAGGAGTTTAAGAACAACCTGAACAACCTGAACAAGATCGTCTCTCCAAAAAAAAAAAGAAAGAAAGAAAGAAAAATTAGCTGGGTTTGGTGGTGTGCTCATGTAGTTGCAGCTACTCAGGCTGAGGCAGAAGGATCTTGAAAGTCACTGTTACTAGAAAAATATTTTATCCCAAATTCATTTTGTGGTATTATAAAAATTATGAGGATATAGGTTTTTAAATACTTTTTAAAGAGACAAAGTCTCTTTCTTACCCAGGCTTTAATAAAGTGGCTATAGCTCACTGCAGTCTTGAACTCTTGTGCTCAAACCACCTTCTGCCTAAGCCTCCCATACGGTAGGTGTATGCTACTATGACTGTGTTAGTCCATTTTCACACTGCTTTGAAGAAACAACCGAGACAGAGTAATTGATAAAGACAAAGAGGTTTAATTGATTCCTAGTTCCATATGGCTGGGGAGGCCTCTGAATCATGGCAGAAGGCAAAGGAGGAACAAAGGAGTATCTTACAGGGTGGCAGGCAATAAAAAAACATCAGATTTTCTGAAACTTATGGACCATCCTGAGAACCGCATGGGAAAAAGCTACCCCCACGATTCAGTTACCTCCCACTAGGTCCCTCCCCACAACATGTGGTGATTATGGGAGCAAGAATTTAGGATGAGAATTGGGGTGAAACACAGGAAACCATATCAGTGACTAAAACTTTTTATGTTTTGTGGAGATAGGGTTCTACTATGTTGCCCAGGCTTCAAGGAATCGTCCTACCTCAACCTACCAAAATATTGGGATTGTGGGCATAAGGGACCATGCCTTACCCCTGTACTTTTTTAAAAATGCCTCTTCAAGTTCTTTCATTGTGGATATAGGATGAATAGCCTACAATTTCTATTTTTATTGCTTTGTTTATTCGTATGCTTAATACTTATTTATTGAATGGACTTAAATTGTGTATACAATGCTTAGCCATTACGAAATGTTAGATTTTTTTTTAACCCTACTGAAATTACCTTGCAATACGATTATAGCTGATTTATAGATGCATATGCCATTGTCCACATGAATTATCTCCACTGGTAGAAGTGAGTACGGATTCACCTAGAAATTGCTTATATTTCCTGTTTATTATGTGCTCAGCATTTAGCTTGGGCATGGGATGTACAACTACTTTATGTTCCTTTCCTCGGCATTACTCATCTTGAAAAATTTGGATTCTTAGTCTTTATTCCCTTCTTGTTAGTGCAACTGATGTCAACAGTGTGATTATTTGAGACTTACTAATCTAATATAAAGAGCTTTTCTGTTCAGACAGAATGTAGATATATTGTAACAGTTATTTGTAAAATACTTTAAACTTTTAATGGGAATTATTGGATTCACAAAGCATTTGGTTTCTCAAAAAGCTTTTAAAGTTATTAATTTGGAGTACAAATAAATATTTTGGTATATTAATAATGGTAATATGGTTTCAAAATTCTTCAGCCCAGATGAACCAATGACAAATTTGGAATTAAAAATATCTGCCTCCCTAAAACAAGCACTTGATAAACTTAAACTGTCATCAGGGAATGAAGAAGATAAGAAAGGTAAGATTTTATTTTGTTTTATTGTAATTTATTTTCTGGTACAGTTAAGCAGTTATTTAAAAGTGAGAGCAGCAGTTTACTGAATATAAATAGGGAAAGGTAGCACATTGTAGTTAAAAAACTTATTTTCTTCTAAATGTCAGATACAATATGCTACAAATACTCCAGAACTAATAGGTTAATTCCTTGTATCTTTATTCAAAATGAGAACCTATGGTAACTTTTTTTTTCTTTTATGGTTCATTACTTTTTAAAGAATAAGCTAAGTTTCTTTGATAATTTACAATATTTTCTTGCACATTCAGTATTCTCTAACCTTACACCTAGTATCATGGGAAGGAAACACCCTTTCATGGTTTCTTTTACAAAGCTAAGATATTGGATATAACATTTTATTATGGAAAAAAACTGCATTGTCAAAGACATCAGGTCCTTAAAAAAAAAAAAATGTGTCATATATCATTTTGAAGATATAGACAAAACCTGGTCACAGTTGTTTTTTTTTTTTAAAGTATTGTTTTCTGGAAAAACCTACTTTTTAAGAATGATGCTGCAGCAAAGTTCTATTTTAACTTTTTAATTTGATTTTCTTTCTTTGTTTCAGAAGAAGACAATGATGAAATTAAGATTGGGACCTCATGTAAGAATGGAGGGTGTTCAAAGGTATATATTAAAAAATTTGTGATGTGCTATGAAGTAAAATTTTAATTTTGAGGAAAGTGCAGTTCATTGACTCAATTCAACAAATACTTGCATGTGCATTATATATTGGACATTATGCTGGGGACTAGGTCTACAGTATGGATTAGACACTGAGTAGCATCATGTCCAATAGAATAATGGGAATAAGTAATTTCAGTTTACTTACTAACATTTACTAAGTACTTAATATGTGCCAGACATTTTATGAGCTGGAGACATAGTATCAAATAAAGCAAAAATTTCTGTCCTTACAGAGCTGATATTCTAGAATGGCGAGACGAGCAATAAGTAATTAGACATTACAAATCAAGATGATTGGAAGAAAATAGAACATACTCAGGAGTGCTTCGGAGCTATTTAGTAAGATTATCAGCAAAGTCCTTTTTGACATAGTAACACTAAATCAGAAATCTTCATGTTGTACTGGATGGACTATGTAAACCTGGGGGAAGAGTGTTTTGGATGGAGAAGCTTGAGCAGAGGCTTTAGAACTTGGCTATTCAAGAAATAACAAGGTCTGTAGATCTTGGCAAGGATAGCAGGTAGGAGAGGTAGACAAGATTATGGAGGTTCTTAGAAGCCATGATGAGGTATTTTGGCTTTATTCTAAGTATTATGAGAAGCTATTACTTGCTTTAGGGAAGGGTTTTAAAAAGATTCTGTGGCTGGTGAATGGTAAATATGTGGTGACAGAACAGGAGTGGAATTGTGGAAGAAGAAAAACCAGCTAGGATGCTGTTATGGAAGACCAGGCAGTGGGATTGGAGAGTAGTTTGTTGAGAAGTGATTAAATATGGGATGCAGTCAAACATACCAATAAGGCCTTTCCCTGCCTCTTCCTACTTGATGTAAAATTTGCACATCCTCAAATGTTTCTTCTCCCTCTCCTTTTTTCTCCATTGCTGTTAATCACTTTATATTACTTATTTGGCATATTTATTTTGCTAATGATCTATACCAGGCATCCCCAAACTTTTTACACAGGGGGCCAGTTCACTGTCCCTCAGTCCGTTGGAGGGCTGCCACATACTGTGCTCCTCTCACTGACCACCAATGAAAGAGGTTCCCCTTCCTGAAGTGCAGCGGAGGGGGGCGGGGGGGAGGGTGGATAAATGGCCTCAGGGGGCCGCCTGCGGCCCCGCAGGCCGTAATTTGGGGACGCCTGATCTATACAATCTAATTCCCCCTGCTGATGTAAAAGTTGTGAGGATAGGGATTTTTGTTGTTGTTCTTTGTTGTATCTTAAATGCTTAGAATAGTGCTTGTAGAATAAATGATACATTTTGGAAGTACAGTACAGATGGTTCCCAACTTAACCATGGTTAACAATGGTATCATCAGGATATAACCACATTGCAAGCAGAGGAGCTTCTGCCTGTATTAGCATGATTTGCTAATGGACTGGATAGAAGGGAACTCAAGTATCTGGGTAATTGGTGACATCATCAACCAACAGGATGAAAATGGGGTGGGGGCAGGTTTGCGCTTTTTCCTCATGTTAAGTTTTAAATCATTTAAGGAATGGAGATTAAATTGTATTTACATGTATATGAGGTAGAAGTAGTAGATAAAAGGGAATGAGTAACTACTGGACTGGGGAAGGCAGTACAAATAGTAGGATAATAAAGGAAGATCAAGGAGAAGGTATCAGATGAGTTTTGAAAAGTGAATGACATGGAAAACAGAAAAAGGGTATTTCAAGCATAAATAATAGCAGAAGTATAGAGAAAATTATGTGATGATAAAAATTTGCTGCTGTGGAGTTGAGATAGGTAGGCCTGGCCAAATCCTAAAAGGGTTTAGTAGTACAGGGAACTTAGATTGTATGTTAGATTGTGGAGGCCAGTGTAATTGGAGAAATTTTCAATATTTTTATTGAAATATAACATTGAAGTTTGTTAAAGGATATACAAATACAAGTTTGTAGCTCAAGAGATTTTCACAAAGTGAAACTCTCAGACCACTCCTTATGCATTTTGTCACTATCTCCCTCAAATGTTTGCCTGTCAACATAGGTTAGTTTTTTCTGTTTTGGAATTTAATGTAAAAATAATCATAGAATATGTATTCGTATTCATCTTTTGAATAATAATGCTTGTTTTATTAATCTTTGTTGCATGTAGCTGTAGTTTTGTTTTTTTATTCCTTTTAGGTATGTCATTATTTATATGTGCCACAAATAATTTTTCTTCATATTGTCATGTAATTTTAAAAAATCGTTTTGAATAATGCTATTATGAACATTCTTTTTGAAATGGAATTTCACTCTTGTTACCCAGGCTGGAGTGTAATTGCATGATCTCGGCTCACTGCAGCCTCTGCCTCCCAGGTTCAAGTGATTGTCCTGCCTCAGCCTCCTGAGTAGCTGGGTTTGCAGGCGTCCGCCACCATGCTTGGCTAATTTTTGTATTTTCACTAGAGACAGGGTTTCACCATGTTGGCCAGGCTGGTCTCAAACTCCTGACCTCAGGTGATCCACCCACCTTGGCCTCCCAAAGTGCAGTGTGAGCCACTGCACCCAGTCTGTTATGAACATTCTTGTCGAGAACTTGTGACGCATGTACACACTTCCATTTCTAGTATTTTGGAGATTTTTTAAACATTTTGGCATTATGTGCATTACTTACCAGTTAGTTCAACATCCCTAATCTGAAATGCTCCAATGAGCATTTCCTTTAACCATCATGTTGGCTGTCAAACAGTTACAGATTTTGGAGCATTTTGGAATTTTGGATTAGGTTTGCCCACATGTGTATCTTTAGCATTAACAGGTAATTCCACATAGTTTTCCAAAGTGATTGTATTTCTTTACATTTCTACCAGCAGTATGTGAGGCTGGTTCAACTTGTCCTGCAGTTTCTTAAAATTTTGTTATGCCAGTTGTGTTTTGTTTTTCAATTTTAACCATTCTAGTGTGTGTGTAGTATTTTCATCGTGGTTTTGATTTGTACTTCCCTAATGATGAGTGCTTTCATGTATGTTTATTAGCCACTTTTATATCTTTTTGTGAAATGTGCAGAATCTTTTACCTATCTCTCTAATGTCTCTTTCTTACCAGTTTGTAGGAATTCTTTAAATGTTTTAGCTTTGAGTCTTTTGTCAGAAATTCTGTGCTTTTTCACTCTCTTAATTGCGTTAATAAACACAGGCTTTTAAATTTCAACAAAATCCAATTTGTCCATCATTTTCTTTATGACTAGTGCTTTCTATGTCCTATTTAAGAAATTGTTGCTCTCTTCAGGGCTGTGAGTGTTTTCTCATGTATAGGCATATTTAAATATGTGAATGACCTGGAACTGCTTATTTTATAATTAGGTGTGATGTGGATGTAATTAAAGAACTTTAAACAAGAGGGTGATAGTATTTGATAATTAATAGAGAACAGAAATTGAAGGCTAAGAAATGAATTAGTAGAAACCTAATTAGTATAGTATAGTATAACTAGTTACTATAGTCTGATTGCTTAAAATCTGCTAGCTTATGAGAAAGATAAATTAAATTGATATATATTCAAATCAAATTTTTGATATTCAAATCAAATTTATGAGATTTCATTATAGATTACCTATGGGTAGAGGGAGAGGAGACGCTGAAGAACTTCAGGATTTTGCTTTGAGAAACAGTATGGTGCCATCAAATAATATGGGGAAAAGAATAGACTTTGGGGTCAGTAGCATTAAGTTTAGATGCTAACATACTGAGTTTTATGTTTTTATGAAATATCTTGAGATATACACATCTAGTACTGTACTTTGGATTTATAAAAGATAAACACAGAATTTTATTTTCTGTTCATAGGTAGTCGCTATAAATACAAAAATAGAAAATATACTACTGGCTACATCCATGTTTTATTAACATAATTTTTTGTGAATTCATCTGTAGAGCCTCCATCTACAGCAGCAATGGGGCCCGGATCTTCCAGACAAACCCTGGATATATATATAGGTCTGCAGCTCATTTTACCCTTTATAGGGATAAGAAATCACCATCACTCAGGACTTCCAGAATTGCTTATTAGATTTCTCATATTATTTGCTAATACCTACATGGAGTTTACTGTACACATAAGTCATGCTGTAACTGTATTTCTGTTGAGAGTATTAATCTGTTGGCTTCAACATTGTTTTCTAAATTTAAGTACTTGAATATGATTGGATGGGATTTCATACTCCAAAGGCTGAAAATATCTGAATATGACTTTCTCGCAGGGACCTAAAAGTTAACCAAGTCCAAAAGGGAATCATTTTTCATTTTTTAACAGAATGGCGTGGGATGGATTTATGAATTTTGTAGGTAATTATCATTAAGTATTTTGCAAAGTTCATAGAGGTCATCAGTACTGCAAATATGTATGAGATATAACTGTGAGATAAGCAGCTAATTTTTTTTCCTCTGTTTCTTTTTTAGACGTATCGGGGTCTAGAGAGTCTAGAAGAAGTCTGTGTGTATCATTCTGGAGTACCGATTTTCCATGAGGGGTAACTTATGCATGACTTACTAAAATACTTTGTGGTAGAATTTACAAAGTTAATCAGGTCTGTCTTTAAACACTGTTTGCAATGCAGTGTGTTATTAGGCATTTTACTTACATTGTCATTAACATCTTCACAATAACCTACAAATCACAGGGGTTTGTATGTTTCTACATGAGAAAACAGAAACAAGGTTAACAGTTCTTAAGTGGTCATTGTGATATAAACCTCCTGTTTTTCTTTATACCCTATATTTAAAAAGTGATACACTCTATTTGGGCTAAATTTTTTGTTTGAAGGACTGTCCTACACATTGCAGGGCATTTAGAATCTTGGGTCGTGGGGCACTAAGATACCATTTTCCCAAGAAGACCCACACTTTTCCACATTCCTCAATTGAGAGGAACCTCTGTTCAGTATTATGTTCTAGTTTATAGAAATGCACCACTGTAAGAATCTTCCACTCTGTTTCCACATTCTTCAGGATTCAAAACCTGAAGTTTTGCCTTGATTTTTGTCTTCCTCTTTTCAGTTTATCTCAAGTAAATAATAGTGGGTATAACCTACTTTAGGATATGTTGTATAATTATTAAATTTTAATTTGCTTAAATTGACTTATTGAAATAGGTTTTAATTCTTCGGTCATAAAAGTTTTTGGTAGCTTCATGAGGAAACTGGAGTGTGAGCCGTCACTGAAAAGCTGCTTTGGAATATGTGATGGTTTTAAATGACTTCATTCAGGAAGACTATACTTCCAGGGATCATTTCTATAGTTTGTTAAGTGTCTACTCAGGAGCTTCAAGATTACTATAATAAACAGCATCCTGGTTTTAAAATATAGTCTTCCTGATAGATACTTTACATCTATATTTACCTGTTAAGTAACTTAGATACTTGAGTTGCACACTTACTGACTTCTTAAAAAGTCAGATTTATTCCTAAAATACTTCTAGATTTAATTGGTTGTGAGATTTTATTTCTGAAATTTCTCTGTAATTATTTAAAGGATGAAATACTGGAGCTGTTGTAGAAGAAAAACTTCTGATTTTAATACATTCTTAGCCCAAGAGGGCTGTACAACAGGGAAACACATGTGGACTAAAAAGGATGCCGTAAGTAACTCTTCCAAAAGTAACACGCGGGGTTTTTATTCATCTGAGTCATTTTTTAAAGATTTGAAATTATTCTGTCTTTAGATTCAAAAAGTTTTCCTTTTTTGCACCATAAAGTTTTGATATGACTACAAAATAAAATGAATCTGAGTCACTCCACTGCCTTTTGAGGGAAATAGCCATTGTCTATTTTGATGCAAGCACGTGGGGTTTTATGAAATACACCTGACAAAATTGAAGCTTTTTTTTTGTCTTTTTTATTTAATAAAATTAGCTCCATGGCCTGTTCTTACTTTTTGTTTTTAAAAGTTACTTTTGTATGAATTTGATGATGTTAAACATTTAGACCTCTGATTATTCTTTTGGCCACTTAAAACTTCATTCAGTCACTGACAGATACACAGACACTTCACCTAGTGGCCAGAGAGGAAGATAAGCAGTCTGGTTTCAGACTTTTGAATGCTTCTGCTTGCTAATGGGGTATTTATCAAAAGGAAGAAAAAAAGCATCAGTTCTACTTCCCTGGAAAGCTTTTTGAAAAGACTTGGGGCTATGCAAACAATTTCCCAAAACCCCATTAAATTGTAAGAGGATGGGCAACTTATTGCTTAATAAGTTTTTGTCTGTTAGTTATTGTTAATGTAGTTTATAATGTATTAAATTTTCAAATTAATTTAGAGATTTCAATATTTGAATATTCTACAGTTGCTGCTTCTTAACAACACATGGTTGGATAGTATAAAAATACCCCTGAAGTTATAAAAATTCATCTACCACAAAACTATCAGAAATGTTTTTAAATAAAGTGAGCGAATCTGTCTATATTTTGTATAGTCCAGAAACTTGAAATTTTTAGTTTGAAAAAATGTTGTTTTCTATTATGTTAAGTTTGAGAGCATAATCCTAGATAAAATGATGTATTTTTTTTCTCATTTTTTAATGCATGCAGTTTTCAGGTATTAAGTATCTAAACTAATAGCTAAGGGCAGAAATGTGAGTGATATATGTAATTTAAACTTAATGTCATTGTATCAAAACGAAAATAGTGCCTTTTACAACAGTAGTGTCTCAGAATTCCTGAATTATGTAACTAAATTGTTCCCATTTATACAACAAATCACCATTTGCCTCTAATAAAAAAATTACTGATAGGGCAGTATACTACTGGTTATGTGGGATTATTTCCATAATCAGAAAATCCAGAAGTTATTTGTTCTTTATTAAAATGAAAAGAAAGTAATAACTGGTCAGGTTTTTTGTTTTGTTCTTAGATTCAGATTTGTAGAAAATAAATAAGTTTTCTAGTGCATGAGGTTAAGGTGTTGTCTGATTTATCCCACTAAGCAAATGTCTTCCATTTCAGTCTTTAAAGAATGTTTTGATGACAGTACTTAGTAGATTATAGAATGTTAAAACTGGATTTAATTTAGTAGAAGTTCTTAAATTGTCTTTTTAAATGTGTATTAATACTATGGCCCTAAAAGAAAAAAACAAAAACAAAGGGTAGGAATAAGTCTGTTCTCAAATCATAAAATTTTTGAAGAATCTTTGTATCATGATACATTTTGTTGTTTAAGCCACTTGGAAAATTTTTAAGTTTTTTGCCCTTAAACATTAAGGGCGTAGTTGTGCATGGTAATTCTTTCTAAGTTAGATGGCTTGAATTCCTCTTTTTAAGAAATTAATTATGTGGCCCTTTTTTTTAGACGGAGTCTTGCACTGTCGCGCAGGCTGTAGGGCAGTGGTGCGATCTCGGCTCACTGCAATCTCCACCTCCTGCGTTCAAGCAATTCTCCTGCCTCAGCCTCCAAGTAGCTGGGACTACAGGCGTGTGCCACTACGCCCAGCTAATTTTTTTTGTATTTTTAGTAGAGACAGGGTTTCTCCGCGTTGCCCAGAATGGTCTCAATCTCCTGACCTCGTGATCCGCCCACCTCAGCCTCCCAAAGTGCTGGGATTACAGCACTTTGATACAATGACATGCCCAGCCCCTATGCAGTGCTTTTTAAACTTAGAGTTTCTCTTATATTACAGGGGAAAAAAGTTGTTCCGTGTAGACATGACTGGCATCAGACTGGAGGTGAAGTTACCATTTCAGTATATGCTAAAAATTCACTTCCAGAACTTAGTCGAGTAGAAGCAAATAGCACATTGGTAAGTACATCTAATAATTTTGAGTAAAAATTCTTTTCTCAACATCATTATTTGCTACTGTATTTTATGGTATTGTTCATATCTCAGCTGATTTAGGTGTAAGATTTTATAATGACTCCCACATGAAAATAATTTAAATTACTTCTGTGAAACTATTTTAAGTGAAAATTTCTGCATAATAGAGTTACTGAAACATTCTGGAGATTCTGTAGTAGAAGATTTATCAGGTAACAGTTCTTAGTTTCCACTATGAAACTTGAAGCCAATTATTCTTTTTTGTCAATGGCTTTTCTCATATGAAACAATATAGTATTGACCCTTTCTTAAAACAGCTTAATTTATTTTTGTCCATCTTATTTTTATAATCAGTGTTTGGTACCATAAACCTGTATATATATCTTTTTCAGTTAAATGTGCACATTGTATTTGAAGGAGAGAAGGAATTTGATCAAAATGTGAAATTATGGGGTGTAAGTATTACCAATTTATTATAAGAATTTCTTTCCGATGACTTAAGATATCATTTGTAGAATAAAAGACAGTTCTTTAGTAAACATTGATGCAAAGTATAGATGTATAACTTAACAGTGTATCCTCCCAAAAAAATTTAAGTCTATAAATAAAAGAGGCCTTGAGAAGCTTGTATTTGGGATTATTGGCATAAGCAAGTCTGATGTTTTCCTCTGAGGTTAATAAAACCACCCAGGTTTCTTGTAATTCTCTTTGATATGTTACAGGTGATTGATGTAAAGCGAAGTTATGTGACTATGACTGCAACAAAGATTGAGATCACTATGAGAAAAGCTGAACCAATGCAGTGGGCAAGCCTCGAACTGCCTGCAGCGAAAAAGCAGGAAAAACAAAAAGAGGCCACAACAGATTGAGTGGGAGATAGGAGGAAGGCTGTTACCTGTTTCAGAATTCTTAACACTGTGTGAAGTGGTGGCTTGCTGCTGTAATCTTTTCTTGTTCTGTTACTGAATCTGGCATTTCAGGGTTAACATTAGGTTCTTAAAAGCCAAAGTGAGTCTGTCTTTTTGTGCCTCTCATCTTTCTTTTGTATAATTTAAGATTGATTATTCATTTCTCCTTAATGGTAGGAACCACAGTTGCGTCCTGTACTTGAAGAGGCTGGAAAATAGCCCATAACCATAATTACAGTATTTCTTTGTATTTCTTTGTTAAGCAGAGAAATATTAAGGAACATGTTTTTTACATCTTTCTATTCCATAATTAGTAAAGCAAGATGAAATGTCAAATTTTAATCATTTTTTTCATGGATTTGTGTTTTTACAGTACTTGAAAATATTTCAGGAAGAGATGATGCTCTGCAGTTTTTTTTCTATGTGGAATGATTACTTTTTTAAGGAGGAGTAAATCTGGGATAGTGTAGTAAGTAAAGGGAAATATATGAATGGTTTAACAAATTAGAATTTGTTTACAGCTACTTGAATGTTTAAATTACATCAAAACTTACATTACTTGCCAAGCAGTATGATGTAAAAGTATAGGAAACATAAGTAAGAATACAGAGGTATCAATCTGGTTAAAATTCACCATTTTGTAATACTAAGCAATAATCTTAAAAACCTCTTTCCTGAATATTTAAATGTGTTTATATGGTGTTATGACTAAATTGTTACTGATTTATAGAGTAAACCCTCTTAAAACCTTTAATTAGTTAAATATAAAAAGAAAGTATATATATTTGTCTCCCTGATGGAAACCTATATAAAGTTGTAGACTTAAAAAGTTTGTGAAAATGCATTAGGATATCAGAAAACTAAATATATGGACTTGCTTCATGACTGTCTATTACGTGTTAAATAAAGTAACTCAATTCTTTTGGAGTTTTTAAAAAAAACTAATTCATGAAGAGCTTCACAATTCTAGTGATACAATGTTGATTATATATTGTACTTTATTTATATTAAATATAGGTAACACAGAATTAGATTTGTTTGGATAGGTTTTGAGGCAGCGCAGAGCTCAAGAAGAAAAATTAGGAAATACTACGAAGGCCAAAAGTCTGAAAGAACTTAGAAAGTTTGGGAATAAATTAAACTTATATAGATTGAAAATGAAAATAAAAGGGGTTTATTTCCCAAACCCCTCAAGTCTTTTGTTTTTTGTTTTTTGTTTTTGTATTTATGGAATTGTTAGAAAAATTTACAAAAGTACTGTTTTCGTTAAAAAAGCATATATATCATTCTGCTACCATTAGAAAATAACTTAGATGTAGTTAATATAATTGCTGAAAGGTATAGTTCTGTTACAAATAAAAACTAAAAGATCTGGCAACCAGACTTTGATGACGTTATGCCACCATGACAAGAAACTCTGGGCAGTAAAAGTTGGACTCACATAGAGTGCATAAGCATCTAATGCCTTGAGATGTATTTAAATTTTTCAAGTTATCTTTCATGATGCAGCATCTGTTTAGAGACATTAAGTCTTTTTGAGTTGGGGGAAAGGTCGATACTTGGTTTGATTAAAGTTAAGGATTAATATTGCCTTTTTAAAATACTTCTTTCTGAGGCTGTTTCCCCCTAAACAGTATCTTAATTTGTTATATGTGATTGAAATACTATTTAAAGTAGTGAGTTATTGTAACCTCAGATTAGTTGCATTGATCAAAACATTGGTTTTTTTAATATGCATATATATATATATACACACACACACACACACACATACATAAATACATACACACACACATTATATATATAGCTTTTATATTTAGTCTGGTTACATTAGTGACCATGGTATTTCATTTCTTATTTCTTAAGGAGCCTTTGAATTTGTTGTCCAGATAAAAATCTGAATGACATTTATCTTAAGACTCATACATAAAGGGAAAGGACAGTTATTGTTAGGTAGCATATGTTTTACTGTTGGTTTGTCAAAAAGGTTAATAAAAAACGCTTTACTGATTCCTTTCTCTAGAAATTTGCTTTCTTCTTTAGCATTAAAAATAATTACTAACAGTAAAGCAGTCAAGGCTAGGTGTATTATATGCATACTTGGTAACTAACCATGGGAAACCTAAAATGCTATTTTTCTTTCATAGCACATTTACTAGTAAAAAGTGAGGTCCTGATAAGTTGAGCCTTTTTATAACCTCTTACTGTGACCTAGTTTTAGGTTTACAGAAAAGTTATTAAAATATAATACAAGAGTTTTTTATATCTTATATTAATCTTAATGTTAAAATCTTACAATATCATACAACATCTACAAAACTTAAGAAGTTAACCTTGGTACAGTACTACTAACTAAAGTAGAACATTTAATTTTTATTATGTGTTTTTAGTGAAACTCTTCAAGGTCTTAAGACGTGTCCTACTTTTTTGGTAATAATTTAACCCAGTAATTTATAAACAATTATGAATAGGAATCCACAAACCTTAATAGGTTGAAGATGTAACTTCTTGATGTAACTGTATGCTGGCAAAGGACTGTAATTATTTCACTTTATTTTAATTTATATTTTGTACAAGGAAATTTAAGAATTTTCTTCAGAAAATTACTCAACCATTGAAGTGAAGAGAAACTTAAAAAGAGTTTTGCGAATATTTTAAAGGGACCTTGAGTTATTTCCCTTCTCCAAACTCTTGATTTTTTTTAAAAAAAATTTTTAATCAGTTATTCCCCAGCCTGAAAATTTATTTCATGCGTATATAGTAAGTAAACTCTTAAAAGCTCATTTATGAGGGCTGTTATCCCTTTTAGGATATTTGGGTATATACTCTGTAAATTGTGTTTATTTTAGCACTCAGGTACTTTTTAAATTATCTATTGGAATAGTAACAGGTTATTGTGTTGTTGTTTTATTGCAAATTTATTTGACCTGGCATTCATATTTGGTATTTACTTTTTTTTTTTTTTTTTGCCAGTATCATCATTCTGTGGCCTCGGTTCTGAAATGGAAGCTATTAAATCCACCTTGTCTTTAGGTTTTGTTAATAGGTTTTTCTGTTTATTTTGATTGGTAGATAGGGTTTTCGTTTGTTTGTATGTTTGTTTTCCCTGACTGCTTCCCTACTGCCCAGGTATCTTACAACTCGATCTAGTGTTGGATGGTTTGCCTTCTTTAGTTTTAAATATGCCTACGGCTTTACACCTATGGCACTCTCTAAAATACCAGGCTTACAGAGGTTTTCTTCTGCATAGTTATTGTTTGATTTTAGCTTTTTAACAGAATTCTTCATTGCAAAGAGTATCTTTAAAAACAGTTTTTCTGAAGGCTGTGTTTTCATTACAAACTCATTAGTGACTCGGCTTAGTTTTTCCATTTAGTGGGCCACCTTTAATGTCCATTAAAATTGAATAAAACTTGCAGCCTTAAACATTTTTATGATGCTTAAAGAGTGTGTTTCAAGCCGGGCGCGGTGGCTCAAGCCTGTAATCTCAGCACTTTGGGAGGCCGAGGCGGGTGGATCACGAGGTCAAGAGATCGAGACCATCCTGGTCAACATGGTGAAACCCCGTCTCTACTAAAAATACAAAAAATTAGCTGGGCATGGTGGTGCATTCCTGTAATCCTAGCTACTCAGGAGGCTGAGGCAGGAGAATTGCCTGAACCCAGGAGGCGGAGGTTGCGGTGAGCCGAGATCGCGCCATTGCACTCCAGCCTGGGTAACAAGAGCGAAACTCCGTCTCAAAAAAAGGAAAAAAAAAAAAATGCTGTAGTAAACACCCTTGTATCACATATACCGTCATTCTGTCCAGTTTTCTCTATAGAAACTAATTTTTAGAATTTCTGGGTAAAGTATATACATACATTTCACGTGCTTTTTACTGACTAGTTTTTATGTTAGACAACTTCTATTAACCATATTTTGGTTTGATAAATGATTAAAAGTATTACATTATAATTTATGGCTTATTTGATTTTAAAAGAATGTTTTAAAACAGGCAATATACTGTGACAAAATATTTCCTTATTTCCTAAGCACTCTTAAGAGAAATAGTATCTCAGGACTTGGATGAAGGAATGAGATAAAAGGGGAATAATGATTAACAGCTTAATTCAGTTGATCTCAAATGCTGAGGGGGAAAAGTTTTTTTAAAAAGTTCAAACATATGCCCTGTTTAGCATGTGATAACACATATCCTATATTCAGTGTCCTGAATTGATGATGGTGCACGCCACACAATCACTTGTTCTGCTGCTAACAATCAGATATTGATTACGAATGATAAAAGCAGAATAAGAATTAAAAGAAAAGTAAGTTGCAGTGATTACTATTTTACCCCAAACTTGTATTTCAAACTACATACGCTGTTTTGTCTTCAGGAAAACTACCAGTAGGAAGAACATCCAAAAGATTTCTAAACCTCGGTGCTTTGTCTCCTTCAGAAATCACAGTTAAAGGGAACTGATGCCCAGAGATACGTAGTGATGTACTCAGTTGGGCAGTAGACAGGGTAATTCATGGGTCTTAATGCTGTTATTTTTTCTACAACACAATGCTTCAAAGCAAAAGTTAAAAGTGTTAAACTAAGGTAGTGTAGCGTGGTAGTGAAGCTGACTCCCTAGATTTGAGAAAAACTTTTACAAAAGTCTTTATAGTTCATAAGTAGCACAACTTACTGCCTCTTAAAGGAGAAGAAACAGAACATACTTAAAAGTTACCATGATGACAGAGTCATTGCTATACTTGCAATTTATTTTATTGTGGGAGATCAGTGAAATACCTTCTAGTAATACTGAGATGTACAGAAAATGTCCCTAAACTAAATGCCCCCACTGTTTTAAGTTAAACTGTATTGTTGGCCTGGGAGCAAGGGTAACAGGTAGTTCTTCCTTGTAGTTAAGCTTTGAGCTGTCACTTCCTATTTTAGTTTTTGTGCCTTCCTATGACAGCTCTTCTGATTTTTAATTCTTAACTTGTTTTGGTGTGGTAGATAAACAGCCAAGTTTATTCAAGTTTTAAATGTAAATGAGTCATTGGTATCTCTGTAAAAGTTTGCAGATTCTGACATACATTCTTTGTAGGAGTTAAAGTATGAAAATTGTAGTAGCTAGTTTCATCACCCATCAGACTTAGTGTTTATTAAGTAGAGCTAAATTACTAAATATGTGAATATTACTGGCTTTTTCCTGACCACTCTTAATGGTGATTTCACAAGAGAAGGTATATTATTCTGGTTTCCTTGCCAGACTTGTTTTTTTTTTTTTTTTAAATCACATTTATTGAGGCTTAATTTTCATACGGTAATTCGTGCATACCTTTTAAGTTTCCAATTTACCACAGATCAAGATAGGAAAAATTCTCATCTATTGGAGAAAGTTTTCTCATCCTTCTCCGCAGCCATCCTCCCCCACCTGACACTTGCCCAGGCAATCACTCATCTACTTTCTAACACCACAGATTAGTTTGCCACTTCATCTAAATAGAAGCATATACTATGTAGTTACTTGTGTCTGGCTTTTTTCCTTCATCAGTGTCTGCCAGTAATACTGCATTTATTGAAAGGTACATGGTTTTTATTGCTGAGTAGTAGTCTACTGTGGATATACCACAGTTTATCCATTCATCCGTTATTGGACGTTTAGGTTGTTTCCACTTTTAAGTTGCAATGAACATGCATTTAAGTATTGCTGTGATCATTGTTTTTCCTTCTCTTGAATAAATACCTAGAAGTGGAATTCTGCAGTTATAAAGTATATGTTTAACTTTATAGTAAACTGCCAAAGTGTTTTCAAAAGTGCTTTTACCATTGTACATTCCCACACTCAGCGTGTCTGCTGTAATGCAGGGAATTTTACTTTGTCATTCTGCCACAAAAGGAATTTTTAATTTCATTAGATTAACACTTTGCTAATATAATTATTATCTTTTAAGAGGAAAGAAACACTTTGCAGATGAGCAAGATCGAAGCCTATAATCAAAACATGACAGCAAGATTATAGAACACCCTGGCTTGATAAGTTAACAGAAAGGTGAATTTTATCCTCAGACTTTGAGCAATACCTTTAATGGCTACCCACGTGAGACTTGCTATAACGCTTCTTTCAGAGTTCCTGCTGCTGCTTGAATTGTAAAAGCTGCAATAGAAATCTGTTTCTTTACTTCTTTCCAGGCCAAACGAGAGTCGACTTTATTTTCAATATCAAAGATAGCATCATAGATGCCAGGAAATGATTCTCCAGCATATTTGTTGCGGCTACTTGGAGCAAATATGATGTGCCTAAAACAAACAAACAAAAAAGGCAAATTGAACTAAAGCGTATACATGTATTTCGTACGCTTTTTGTTTCCTTTTGTTAGACCACATTATGTTTCCTTGTGACATTCACTTTTGTAAGTACAAGAGGAAGACAACTGATTTGAGATACTTATGCAAATTATAATTTTAAGCCAAGAAAGGAGCTAAAATATGCATTTGCTAAGACATCTCTCTCCAACCATATACCATGTTGCAAACCCGAAACAGTTGGAAGGACGTAGGTTCTTGTTAAGTTGTGCAGAATAATCATTCAGCTGCCCGTGAACACTAACAAGCATGATAATATGTAAGTATATGGATGTTTTTAATAAGAGGAGATTGAGAGAGAGTATTTTTGTGTTGCCTTTTAAAAACAGATTAAACAAGAATGACAATTGTTCCCAATACTTTTTAAATATTAAAAAGCAATTCTTTATAGAAGCCTGCATTCCAAAATGTCACAAATGGTAAGGATAATGAAGTCCATTCCACAAAAGGTAGAAGACTTATATGTGGGTTGCCCACAAAGACGCCCGACTTTTGATCTAGAAAGTTTTATAATTGCTTTTCTACTTAAATGTAAGCTCAAGGGATCAAGCTACTTCTTTCCCCAATGAGTATGTAGAACTGTGCTTTCCAGAAAGGGAGATATTTTATTACATACATCAGGAATTAGGTCCAATAGTCCAACTCCAGAGCTTATTCTTGAATAAATCTGTATGAAGCAATATAGAGCTCCATATAAGTCAGTATTAATAAAAAATGACAAATCTATAATACTCATTCAGATTTACCAGAGTACATCAGGATTATCTTGGCTTTTAAATCTTAATATGGCCTCAGATGGTTATTTATTATTAAAATCAGCCTAAGTGCTAAGCTGTTGATAAGCATTGGTATCCTGACCTGTATATGAGTCAAGAAATTAGAGGTACAAGTCATAGGTATGCCTAAGTACACCTACCCTCTTCTGGAGAATTGTAAAGGAAAAGTATAGCAAAAAAAAAAAAAAAAAAGATTGACATAGGAATAGAATAACCTTTGAATCATTGATCTGGCATTTAATATCTCAGTGACCTTTGGAAAATTGCCTAGTTTATCTAAGCTTGTCCCAGATGTGTAAAATAATTGAAATAATATAGACTCTGCATAGAGTAGTGACTGAGTGGGTTGTAGAGTGAGACTGCAGAATACTAGCATATTTACTATCACCAGAATACTGTCCACTATCAGCCTTGTGGCCTTGCACTGATTATTTAACCTCCCTGTTCCTGTTATCTTGAAAATGATGGTGATAAAAGTACTGTCCTCAAAGATTGTTGTGAAAATCATTAGCTATTATTCTGAAGCTAAATCCTTTTCATAATTCTCTCAGATAAGAAGCAGGCAGTGAGGTAAAAGAAATGTTTGACAATTGGTAAGGCTTAAGCAATTCAAATACCCTTCTGTGAAATGGTGGACTCCAATAGCTATTCTAGTCCCATAACAATTCAAACTCTGGTCTAGTTCTCAAGGTTTCAAGTATATGATTATTTAATTACCCTGCACAATGAACATTTCTGAATTTTTAAGAGGTATCAAGAACTACTGTAGCAGACTATAGAATATAGTCAACACTTCATGGTCTTTCTTTTTCCCTCAACCTTTCCCTCAGTACATCGTGATTATTCACTGATGAGTTACAATGATGCAAATGTTTTTAGAATTTCATAATCAAGTGCTTTGCAGTTTTTAAAGACTTTTACAGTATTGCACTTGATGTTTGCAAGAAAAGTAAGCTTTATTTAATCCTTTTTAGATTACATTATAGAGTGTGTTCATTTTATATTCCTGTGCAAATTACCACAAACTTGACGGCTTAAACACGACTTTATCTTACAGGTCTTTAGAAGTCTGACATAAGTCTCACTGAGCTAAAATCAAAGTATGATCAGGGCCATGTTCCTTCACCATCAAAATCCACAACTGCATTTCAGACTGAGTCTTCCTTAATGGCATCGCCCTAACTTTCTTTCCTGCCTGACTCTCACAGGAAGACTTTTAAGGACCTTTGTGATTACATCATTGGGGCCACCAGTATAATTCAGAATACTGTCCCTATTTTAAAGTCAGCTGATTAGTAACTTTAAATTCCATCTGCCACCTTAAGTACTCTTTGTCATGTAATGTAACATATTCAAAGGTTCTGGGGTTTAGAAAATAGACATCTTTGGGAGGCCATTATTATGCTTGCCACACAGAACAATTAATTTATGTGGAACTTTCATTAGGGAAAAAAGAGGAGTAAGAGAATATAGAAAATGAGCTCAGTGGTAGATAAGGATTTATTACTTATCTGTCATTGTTGTGACAGTTTCAATGTATTACCCACAACTCGAAAATGATTAATCAAGTTTGCAAAATTTATCAAGCATGCTGCTATGGTCTGAATGTGTTCATTCCCAAAATTTGTATGTTGAAACTTAACAAATTTTCAACATACAAATCTCCAGTGTGACAGTATTAAGGGATTACAGCTCTTACAAAAGACAATGAAGGAAGCTAGCTAACCCTTCCATCTGTTCTGCCAACTAAGGACACCATGAAAATAATGCCATGTATGGGACAGGCACTCATCAAACATTTAATTGGCTGACATTGATCTTTTACCTCCCAGCCCCTAGAGCTATGAGTAATAATTTTTTGTTTGTTATAAATTACCCAGTCTCAGGTATTTTGATATAGTAGCAGGAATGGACTAAGACACATGGTTTTTATTCACAATAAACATTTAGTTATGCTTCTAAATTTTAAGATGAATGTTTTATATATTCCACACTAAAAACATTTTATTTTAAAATATGTACAATGTTTTCTGATTTATTCATTACTGAATCTCAACTCTTAAATCAAGTTTAACTTAAAGCTGCCTCCTTAAATATTTTAAGATCAGCCTAACGGTTTCTCTGTACATAGTAAACAATAACCTAAATGGAGTTGTCAACAAACTGAATCTACTCTTGTGCCAATCACCAATTTTTGGCCAATCAAAGGGGGGCAGTTCAGACTGTGTTCAAACAAGGTAAACTCTGAGCTATAACCAATCTGGCTGTTTCTGTAACTCATTTCCATTTTCTGTATGTCGCTTTCCTTTTGCTGTCTATAAATCCTCATCCATCACGTGGCTGCATTGGGGTCTCTCAGTCTAACATTCTTTGCTCAATTAAATGCTGTTAAATATAATTTGGCTAAGGTTATTCTTTTAATACATATATAATGCATATACATATATAGAATGGCTATACATGTATTTATCAGATTAGTCTAATTTTCTCAGTTTAATTAGAAAATTTACATGCTAGAACAATTTTATTACACTACATATTTGGTAATCTCTCCTTTCTCGAGGTTCATGAAATAGTAGATCTTAAAAATATCATTGATCCATTATACATACTGAAAATTTTTACTCTCAGATTTTATTAGACTTATAAGATCATTTTTAATCTGACCTACATTGCCCAATGAGAAAAAAATTATTTTGAATTAAATTCTTTAAGACAAATGAGAAATTCTGGGTAGCTGGAATTGGTATTATAACTACATTTCTCTCAGCAGTTATTGGGAAAAGTGTGCATATGCAGTATGTCATATCAATCCATAAAGTAATCCTTATGATCATTAAGGAACTTATTTCCATACTACTGCAATAGACTAAAACAAAAATAAGAATTAGCATTAGAATATAATCTTAATATTCAGTTAATAATTCAAACTGCACTTTTGAAAATATGGTAGTCCTTGGAGGACAGTTTGGCAGTAACCTAATTAAATTTGAAAATGTGTTTACCTTTTACCCTGCAATCCCAGGTGATTATAAGGATATTAACAAATGTTCAAATAGGACACAAGGACATCCATACTGTGTCAATACTTTTCATAATAGTAAGTAATTGGGGGAAAAAAAAACTAAAAATACGGTGTGGGGTGGGGCACAGAGATGGGTTCTAAAAGCCTGTGCTTGTAATTATCTAAATGTTAATCATTAACATGCGTAAGAAAGGTAACATATAGACCTTTATTATTATTATTATTTGCATGTTATTTGATGATAGCCTTGTAAAGTAGTAATCATCACTGTCTTAATTCAGATGGGAAAACCCTAGAAATTAATTGCTCTAAATCACATATCCACAAGTGAATTGGAATATAGATTTTCTGGCTTTGAATTTTAGGACCTTTGTAATTTCTACTAGAGAACCACTGTTTAAAAAGGACCTTGAGCAAATAAATAGAGATCATCCAAAGGCATGGAGCCAAGACACTGAAAGAGAACATGATGCAGAGATACAGATAGGAAAACAGAATACAGAGGCTTCCTGACTTAACAGTGGGTTGTGTCCTGATAAAACCATCATAAACTGAAAATGTCACAAGTCAAAAATGCTTAATATGCCTCATCAGTCAAAGATCATAGCTTGGCCTAGCCTACCTTAAGTGTGCTCAGAACACTTACATTAGCCTACAGTTGGGCAAAATCATCTAATCCAAAACCTGTTTGATAATGAAGTGTTGAATATTTCATGTAGTTTATTGAATACTACACTGAATATGAAAACCAGAATGGTTGTATGGGTAGTTGAAGTATGGTTTCTGCTTAATGTGTATTGCCTTTGCACCATTATAAAGTCAAGAAATGAAACCTAACCATCATTCAGAACCATCTCAAAAATATTATATGGAAGCAGAGCTAGACTTATTTTATTTGACTTTGAATAACAGAACAAACTCAAAGAGAAAAATATTACAGCAAAATAGATATTAGATCTTTATGAAGAAAACTTTCTAATAATTAGACCTTTCGTAAAGTGAAATGGGCTTCCTCATAAGGTAGTAAGCTTCTCATCACTGGAAGATTCAGAAACTGGGTAACTATTTAATCTGAGATCCTATAGAAAGGATTCATGTAGAAGGCTGAACTAGATGAGCTCTAAAATTCCCTTTAAGATTATACAGTTTGAAGATTTTGTTAGGGTTCTTTTTTAACTAGCCTTTACCATTTTCACTCACAGCAGAGCAATAAACAATATGAAATTTATTTTTCTAGTATGTATTATACTACTATTAGATGCACAATCTTACCCAAAGTCCCTTTAGTGTACATATTTGCCTTTCACCCATCTAATGGCATTAAAGCTGACTTCAGGTATGCTGGTTTTGGTCACAGTGATGTATTTGGTGCCCTTTAGTGGATCACCTGTTGTTTCCTTACCTATAGAATGGCTTTTCTGGTAAACCAAGGGGATCAATGAATGCTCTTTCCAGGAGCATCAATTGGTCATTCATCATTCTCACTGCAATGGGACTTTGAGAAGAACATATATATAATTATAAACCAAACTACAGAATCATGTTTCAAAATAATATTAAATAAAAACAAGGCTTGGCAAAATACATTTCTAAAAGTGATAAATTTTTAACAAAATGAATATTAACAGTAATGCTTTATGTGGTGAGCTACAAACATAGCAGAGTCATCTTTGTAATATTTACATTGAGGAGAGAGACCTAATGGGAAATTGTTTGTTATATTTTTCTAGATCACACACTTCAAAAAGAACTCAAAGACATTCTTCTTTCTAGGAAGATAGCCAGGCCTCCTGGAAAGGTAGACAGAGTGAACTCCTAAGTTATTCCTGATAAGTCTTTCAGTTCTACTGCATTAAAAAGGAGCAGATAAAGGTGGATAACAGAGTGAATGGTTTCAGAAGTCTGTGAGGTGGTTAAGAGACAGCTGAACACAATGGATAGGGAATCCCTTTTTACAGTCAGACTATCCCTTTGGAGAGCTGCATAAGTTCCCTGGGCTCCCCTACAATCCAAAGGAGAATGAGGTCCCTTAAAATAACTGATACAGCTTTCTTCCAATATGGGACGTGCCAAAGTTTACTCTGATTAAGTCTGAAAAAATTAACATGACATGGACTGTACTGTGGATAAACTTATGTTTGTTACATAGTTTTACTTTGAATGTACTTTAAAAACTATTTTCAATTTAAAACTGGAAAGAAATAAAATGCAAAAAAAATTATCAATGATAAAAGAATTTTTAAATGGGTACACAGGAGTACTGGACAAAGGACTAGTAAAATATATTACAAATGCACTTAAACCCATAAAGCTATGAATTTCCAGCTATAGTCAGAACTGTCATCATGCAAACTCCTAACGATGGGTCCTTTTGGCTCTTGTCTCTTTGGGATGAGATTTTCGTCTACCATTGAGAGAGAGCAATGCTCCCCAAACTTAATTGTTACTTTAAATCACTGGATGTGGTGGGGGTTGGGGGTGTTAAAATGCAGAATTCTAATTCATCATGTCTCAGATGGGGACTGATACTCTACCTTTCTAACAAGTTACCAGGTACTACTGCTATTGCTGGTTTGCAGACTGTAATTTGAATGGTAATGATTTAGGAGTTAATGCCAATATGAGTGAAAACAGTTCATTCTAGTAACCAGATTGCTTAAAAAAAAAAAAAAAAAAAAAAAAAAAAAAGGGTAGGTATTTGAAACTTACTTATTAAGATCAACTTGTGTAAGTCGTCTATGAAAGTCTGAAGCAGCCTCTGAGAAGTTTTTCACAGCAGAAAATAAAGAGTCTTTTTTAAAAATAGAAAGGCAGAAGAGAAATTAGCACACGTGCTACCCATTTCAGGGCTTTGCTTTCCCACCCTCCCCATTTCAGATTGACATGACCACATAAATGCCAAGGACATTTTTCTACCGAGTCTTCTTGCAGATCCATGAAAATTAGCAGAAAATATAACAAAGAAATATTGTATGAAAACAAAAAAATGGCAAAATTGGTTCTTAAAGGAAATAACTTTCAAAAATCTAGGACACAAATAATTCCTTAACCCATAGTTTACCAGAAACCCAGCATTCTTAATTTATTCATTCTTTCACATACACACTGCGAAAACAACTATATGCTAGACACTGGACACAGCTATGCATCAGCTATGATTCTGTAATTACTACAGGGCAAAAAAAAATACCAATTCTTGTTTTCAAATAGTGTATTTAAGATCTTGTTCAACAGTTAAGCTATGACAAACTGATATATCCAAATACTGAAAAAGAGGATCAGATTTGGTCTGGTCAAAGTCTTTAATTCACAGTGCTTCTAAGGAAAGTGATTAGGTTCTGAGTACAGTCATACCTCAGTTTCAATGGGGCCTGGGTTCCAGGAACCCCTGCAGATACCATATTCCATGGAAGCAACTCCCTTATATAAAATGGCATACTATTTGCCTGTTACCTACACACATCCTCCCCTATACTTTAAATCATCTCTAGATTACTTATAATACCTAATACAATGTCTATAAATCACTTCCTTCATGTATATTCAATGTAGTGCTCAGAGCACAACAAATTCAAGTTTTGCTTTTTTGGAACTTAGTGCATTTTTTTTTCCCTGAATATTTGTGGCTTGCAGTTGGTTGACTATATGGATGCAAAACTCACCAATAGAGAGGGCTGACTGTATATCATATTTTTGTTACAACAATATAGTTATTTTCCATATTTTCTACACAGAACTTTAAACATACATTATTGATTTGTTGCATCAAGCCTGTGGTATAAACAAAGCAGGAAATACGATATTCATTTTATAGATACAGCACTTACAGCTCAGGATCTGTTAGGTCACACCTAATAGAAAGGATTTTTATTTCTATTTCTATTACCTAATTTGTATTAGGTCTGACCTAATAGAAATCCTGAGCTTTAAGTGCTTTAGCTAGTAAGTGGTACATTCAGTATAAGTATGATCACTATTTTTTAAAAGCAATCTTTTAGTTCTAGATTTTCCTTAAGTTTTAATTGTTTTTAAGCCACGTTCAAACCAAATAATGTAGTAACAGATGCAATGGAAACTATGAGAAAAGAATGCTGAAGACAGAATTTTAAATGTCAAATGCAGGACAGAAGTCAGGATAGAGAACTGAAGCATACTCTTGGGATTTATTGACACATGTCAATGACAACTTTGGCAAGAGCAGTTTTACTAGAGTAGAAAGGACATAAGACAGCACAGTGGATTGGCTATTAAGAGGTAAAGAACTATAGACAGAGAGTGCAGATTATGTATTCATTCATTCATTCATTTCATCAATCATACCTTCATTCCTACACTAATAGGTGTTTCCTCAGGAACCATTTTTGCCTGGCATTAAATGAAGAATTTTGATTGTGAAGAAAGTGGGACACATCGGGTAGTAATTTCTTTTTTGAAATAGAAAAGCTGTAAGAGTAATTAATCTAATAGATAGCCACCAATAGTAATGGTGATTTTTGAAAATATGGCAGGGAAACCAGGCCTCTAAGAAGGTAAGTAGGTGGAGGAATTAACCTTGTATGAAGAAAGCCCTTCCACTGTTACTGTATAGTTTGTGTCTCTTAATTGGACCCTGACTTATACAAACGGGTAAGAGATGATTCACCAAAAGGAAATCAGGGCATTTAGGAAGACAGCTGGATGCTGAATAGCCACAGAACTACGAATGTCCATTTTGCTGTAGGCTCTGCTCATTTTTTGGTTTTCTCTCTCCTGATTTCCCCCATCATTGCAGAGATACTCCAATTGTATTGATATAAATACATTTTCTTTGCTTCATTTTTTTTCTAGACCATAGTACCTGCTGTTATTTATAACTTTATAAAGATTACTAATACTGATCCTTTATATAATCATATTCAGAAGTCACGACTATTTCATACCCACTCTCTGTGTTCTTACAGCACTCTCTACATCAGGTGTCCCCAAACTCTTTACACAGGGGGCCAGTTCACTGTCCCTCAGACCGTTGGAGGGCCACCACATACTGTGCTCCTCTCATTGACCACCAATGAAAGAGGAGCCCCTTCCTGAAGTGCAGCGGGGGGCCGGATAAATGGCCTCAGAGGACCGCATGTGGCCCGCGGGCCATAGTTTGGGGATGCCTGCTCCACATACCCCCATAATAACCTATTCTCTGCATATTGCCTTCTTCCCCACATGAGACTTCAAGCTGTTTTAGGACTATGACTGTGCCTTATACATACTTCTGTCTCCCAGGCAAAAACATAGTACTTGATACACAGTAGAAACTCAGGGCATATTTGATAATTTAGACATATACTAAAAATATGTTCCCCTTGAATAATAAAAAACAAAGGCAATAAAACAGCAATAATAGCTAACATTTAATGAGCACTAAGTGCCACCTGCCACAGCTCTATGTGTTACCTAACTGAATCTCTACAATGATCTTTGAAACTTAATATTTTTTTTTTTATCTTTTCATTGTATGAAAGCTAACACATTGAGAAGTTAAATAACTTTCCCAAGGTCACACAGTGAAGAAATGGTAAAGCTAGTGTCTGAAGCAGACAAACCGCTTCCAAACCCAGCCCTGAATTCTACTACATACGCTACTTTATGATTCATCCCTGCTGTGTAGCAGATGTACAGTGCAGAAGAGCAACCACTAAACAGTCATTAATGAGATAATGCTTCTGACCATGTAAAAAATGTTTCATACAGACAAATACTAAAAGATATATGCAGTAATAATCATGATGTTGACAATAATTAATATGTATGTAATAGAATTTGTGGCTTTCTCTACTTCTCAATATTTAAAAATAACGTGACATTTTTCTAATGTTATTCCTATAACAGTAAAAAATTTTAAAGGCCATAATATAGGAAAAATGTTTAACATCCCAATGTTTGTGGTAATAACTCAGCTATAATGGATTCATTCGGTACATGCCAGATTAAATTAGACTCTTCAATAGGTGTTTGTTTAAAGTTTTTATGTATTTAAGTCAAAATAAGTAAGACAAATATGTATTCTAGGATGAAACAATATGCATTGTTCATGACAGTAGATAACGTCTTAAAGCTCTACCTTAAAGACTGTAAAATATCAGCCCAACTATTTCTTACCAAATGATACTCCATGGTCTCTCAATTGTTGGTCATGTTTCTTGGATAGATTATAGATACTCACTGCATAGTTTTTCAAAGCTTCTGCATAGTCTTGAATATTGAAAGGAATGATTTTAGAATCCACAAGCTCATATACCAGTGCTCCTCGTAACTGAGCCACAGAAAGTTGTTTTTTAAATGTGGGGTCATAAAATTTCTCTACCAAGTCAAATGTCTCATAAATTGTGTGGTATACTGGGTAGCTGCTGTACTTTTCTGTTTTCTAAAAAAAAAAAAAAAAAAAAAAAAAAATATGGAGGGAGGCAAGTATAAATAAACATTAAATACTCAAGTTACAATATTTTTAGTAAACATAAAAGTAACTATAGAAAAAAGGCAACCAGCCATGCGTGGTGGCTCACACCTGTAATCCTAACACTTTAGGAGGCTGAAGTGGGCCAAATGCCTGAGCTCAGGAGTTCAAGACCAGCCTGGGCAACATGGAGAAACCCCATCTCTACTAAAAATATGAAAAAAGAAAAAGAAAAAATACAATCATATAGCACCCTGAGTTTTATCACAATGAGGCAAAATGCTAATAACTAAAACACTGTAATAAAATATTCACTGATTTTTAAAATTTTCCCATATTTATTTTATAATGTATGTAACCTTCATTCAAAATGTTACACCTTGAATATTTTCCTTGTTGTATCTTCAATAAGTAAAATTAGGGAACACCATATTCAAATTGTACCTCAGCACAGTTCAAAGTTACCTGTCAATTGAGTAGTTAAAAAAAAAGGTTCTAGGCAGCTAAGCATGGAGCTCAGGGATGATTTATTTCAGTGTCTTCGCTTCCTTCCCAAGGAGTGTATATTTAATGTCATTTAAGCTTTATTACATAACTAAGAGTACCATTATGAATATGAATTATTACATAGTAGTATACTGTATAAATTTTTTTTGTTCTACAGTCTGCCTATTCTAATTTTAGTTTTTACCATTTGCTATCTTGTCGTAGGGCTATCGTTCTCACTGCTTTTAATATCACTAAAAAGCAATCCCTGTGTCAGTCCTTCTAATCTAAAGTGGTCTTAGAAAACAGATAACTTTGATCAAATTACAGAAGACAGAGTATAAAAGTGAACAGGCCTTGAAAAAGAGTTAAAACACATCTTTTATGTATTATATGTAATGAAAGTTTACTGAGTTTATCTCTCTATTTTGGGTTGAGTTGCTTTCATTTCTTTGTTCTTTGTTGTATTCTGAATAGTCAAATTTGCAAGATATACATATATATAATGAGCAAGCAAGATTTAGGTGTACTTCAATTATGATTTGAAAACTGATTAAAATCTATGACGAATCTGTCTGCTACTGTAATCTTCCATTTGGTTTATGAAATAATTTATAACATTGATGAGCAAACATGGGATATGTTGGTTATATTCAAGTACTTGCATATCATCAGGATGTCTGTGTGGCAGTGGTGCAAACCAGTCAGTGCAGAACAGAAAAGAGGATCAAGTTAAAAAGAGGAACTTGCTTTATTTCCCAACCAAGAATCCTTGACTCAGGTGACAGGCAGAAGTGGGAATATGAAGAGGAGCTACCAACAATAACGAATCTTACCCTAATACTTCTCTTGACCAAAATATGTTCTCCAACTGCATTTTTCCTCATGAAAATCACAGCAGAGCCTGCAAGACTATGCTAGAGAATGAGATTTTTCTGACAAATTAAGAAAAGGATGTCAACTACCTAGTACTGATAACCAGCTAAGTGTCTGGCATTACCTTGTGAATCACCATTTCTTTGATTTACCATAACAATGAAATGTTCACAAAATTATTCAAATTACTTCCTTGTCCATCTGCAAAGGGACATGCAGTCTATCTCTGTCCCTGGGACCTCTTCCCAGGCCACATCCACCAGGTATCTGGTGCCCAACAACTCAGTGACATTCCTCGCCAAAGGACTGTAGATGAAATGTCATATATTCAAACTGATAAAATGGCTTACCTTATTCTTAGTGTAACGGGCTCTGCCTGAAGCAATTCCAAGTCTCTGAAAATAAGCTTCAAAGTCACTTCCAGATCCCAGCTTACTGATTCTAAATGTAGAATGCAACACACACACACACACACACACACACACACACACACACACACACACACAGAGAGAGAGAGAGAAATACACACAGAAACAAGTAAATGATACAAAATTAAATAGATGGGACAAGGAATTCTGTCTCAAGAATAGCAAGAAATTACACGTTACATTTACAAGAACTTTAAAAAGTCAACCACCCTCAAGACATTTTTTCATAATATGGAAAATTGCTGTAAAATTAAAAGTAATGCTGAAAATTAAAAGTAATGGCAAAAATGGCAAATACTTTTGCACCAACCTATAATAAGAATTGGGTTGTGCCACCAAAGACTGCAGCCTGGTGATGATGCTTTCTATCATGTTTTCAGCATTTACATTTTTGTTTAGAGGGGAAAACAACAAAGACATGGGCCCTGCTCTCAGAGATTGTCATCCCAGCACTTTGTGAGGCCAAGGGGGGTAGGTCACAAGGTCAGGAGTTTGAGACCAGTCTGGCCAGTGTGGTGAAACCCTGTCTCTACTAAAAATACAAACATTAGCCGGGCTTGGTGGTGGGCAACTGTAGTCCCAGCTACTCAGGACGCTGAGGCAGGAGAATCGCTTGAACATGGGAGATGGAGGTTGCAGTGAGCCGAGATCACATCACCACACTCCAGCCTGGGCAATAGAGCAAGACTCCATCTCAAAATAAAAAAAAATAAAAGAAAAAGAAAATTGCCATTAAAAGGTCTACAATTAAAATCATAAAGAATCTATGCCTTATTTCATTTTAGAAATCTAATTATAATTTATTTGCATATGATTAAGAAACCTCTATTGTTCTATCACACATATATACATACATAAGATGTAAGACATGACAAATTTTTTGTAAAATAGTAGTAAGTCATGAAAGCAGAATATAAAATTGCATGTGCATTAAAAGCATAACTATATATTTCCAAATGATTAAATTAGTTTTTGAGACTGAGCTCTTCAATGTTTTAAAAATCACTTTAGTATTTTACTATTTTTGTTGAATTGGTATGTTAAACTTTTATAGTGGACCCACATTCAAACTTTCACAAGACCAATTTGAAATAAGGACTAAAGCTATAAACTGTTATTATTATTTGCTTGTAGACATTGAGTATCCCATATGAAATGCTTGGGACCAGAAGTATTTTGGATTTCAGATTTTTTTTCAGACTATGAATATTTACATATATGTAATGAGATATCTTGGCGATGGGGCCCAAGTCTACACTCAAAATTCATTTATGTTCCATATATATCTTATATCCATAGGCTGAACTTAATTTTATATAATATTTGAAGTAATTTTGTGCATGAAACAAAGTTTGTCTTAAGTACTATAATGTGTGGAATTTTCCACTTGTGACATCATGTTGGTGCTCAAAAAGTTTTGGATTTTGGACCACTTCAGATTTCAGATTTTTGAATTACAAATGCTCAATCTGTATTAGAAATGGCATTGCGGTAGAAAACAAATATATACTTTTTAGTACATAATGTTTAGAAAAAAGAAAACAAAATAAATTTAAGAAAGCTGCTGTAGCATGAGGCAAAAAATAATACTTATATAAATTCTAAATTAATCACAAAATTTAGTGGTAATTGATAATGCTTCTTAATAAATTTACAAGAAAATAATCCAGCACTTGTTTTCTAACTTCATTATCATCATCTGAAGTTATAGTATATATTAATACAGCTAATACATACCTAAATGAAATTTTATGCCAGAATGCCAACTAGTGGCTAATAATGCAGCAAAACTATTTGGACTAAAAAATTTGCAAAACTAGATCTATTTGTGCTCTAATATAGGCTGAAAGACTTCATGTGCTGGCTTACCAACAAAACAAAGACTGGATGGAGGCATTCTTTTTTTTTTTTTTTTTTAAATTTGAGATGGAGTTTCACTCCTGCCCAGGCTGCAGTGCAATGGTGCAGTCTCGGTTCAGCGCAACCTCTGCCTCCCAGGTTCAACCAGTTCTCCTGTCTCAGCCTCCTAAGTGACTGGGATTACAGGTGCCCGCCACCATGCCCAGCCAATTTTGTATTTTTATTAGAGACAGGGTTTCACCATGTAGGCCAGGCTGATCTTGAATGCCTGACCTTAGGTAATCCACTCACCTCAGCCTCCCAAAGTGCTGAGATTATAGGTGTGAGTCACCGCACCAGGCCAAGAATTCTTCATTATCTTTTCTGGACTCAAATTATTGTTGAGACATTTCAGAATTTCATGTTTGGAGAAACAGGAGGCAGAGGGGAATTTATAATTTATCCTACGGTAGGAAAGGTGCATACAAGTAACTTACCTAGGCAAGTTTTTATTTTCAGGTGAAGGGTCTTTTACCAACCAGCTTTCATACAGTGATTTACTCTCAAACCCACTATCAGGGCTGGGGATCTAGAAAGATAAATCAAATACTGGAAATCAGGGATAGAAACAACTATATTTATGCCAAAAGAAAACTCTATGTGATTTGTCATCAATTTCTACTTTTAATGACATGTACATACATATTTATATACAAGTATATATAAGTTCCTTTATAGAAAAATTATTTTTGCAAATGGCAAGAAATAAATCTAGCCCAAATTATTGTTCATTCATGATGCCTACCTGTGTTGGGAATTTTGTCATGTACCTAAGATGTAATTTCCTGCTTATTTTGGTGAACTTTTAAATAGCATTTAAAATTTTTACAACGTCATCATTTTAAGGTTTCGCAGCTTAGATTTCTGTTAGTGGGAATACATTGGAGAATACTTCAGATATAACATTTGCTTTTGTAAATTATTTTTGCCTAATAAGACCTACAAAGCAGTCTCAGAACAACAGAGGTGACATAATTTGAAGCTCATCTTAACCTTTAAGTCTAGGTTTTGCAGGGCAGGCAGGGGTTAGTGGGGGCATTAGTCTTTTAGGAAGTCTTACACAAAGTTAAAATTTTATGGAGTTTTTTTAAAAAGGTCTACATTACCTCAGATTACTACTTCGGAATTTTAAGAGCTCCTATGTTTGTGTGTATATATATAAACATTTTTATTTCTTTCATTAAAGTAAATTTACAAACTTATACTTACTTTCTATTTTGACACTCTTAAGTAGAGCAGGGCCATGTGATGAAAACATTGTGGGCTGTGGACTGTGGGGTCCAACTGGTCTATTTTAAATCTGGACTACTACACATATTGGTCGTATTTTATTTGCTTGTTTGTTTATAACCCTGATTTGCTCAAAAATAGATCCAAGGCAGACTCTCCTTAACTAACTGTGAAAGGATCATAACTTGGTGAATTGCTTCCTCTCTTTAAACCTTAGTCTTCTCACCTGTGAAAACAGGGATAACGGTACCTTTCTTAACATAAGCATCTGATATTTTCTCTGGCCTTTAGACAGAGTTGGTTATTCTAACTTCTGTGCCACTATTCTTAAAATGTTTTCTGTAGATATTTACTAAACTCTGAACTCAGAAGAGAAATGCAGAAAAAGAGAGATAGTTTCTACCCTATTGGACCTCACAATTAAATCTAATTGGGATACACACGCCAAATACAATTTTTAATACGAAATTATAATAAGCATTTGAAAATAAAATATCAAAGTGCTATACAGAGATGTGGATAGGGGATGGGAGATAAATGTGTCTCTAGGTAACGTCTTTCTGAGAAAATGGCAATTAAATTTAAGAGCATCTAATAAAGATGTTGGATACTGCCACGTGTTTTTGAACAATTTCCCTGTTTCAATCTCATCCCACTTATTTAGAGGCACAAATGTGTGTGTTTACTGATAACACAAGCCCACGTCAGCCTTCAAGTAGAAGGTAACAGTGGTAAATCTGCGTTCTTCCACAGAATAATGGTAGGGCTGGGAAGTGGTCACTTGCCCTTAGCTTAATATGAATGAGATGGTAGTTTTTCACTGCATATAGGATCCACAGCTTAGAAATAGCTTTGACACTGCACATCCTTCCCTACCAACACGCAGCAGCTGCAGAGATGTTCTGCTCATTTCTAGCCAGCTAACTGGGTTCTATTCTTCACTCTGCTCCTGCCAATTTACAATGGTTGAGAGAGATTCTGTTCCAGTTTCTGCATCCTGCTTGGATTGAATTCCCAGTAAAATCCTCTTCATTTTCTTAATCATACTGTCTCCATCTAGTACTAATCAGACATCACATCCCTTTGACCTAGGCAATCAATATTAGTTCCCCCCACCCCGAGAGTCAGGGTTTTGCTATGGCTTGCACTCCTGGACTCAGATGATCCTACTGCCTCAGTTGGAAATAGAGGCATGTGCCACTATACTCGGCAATGTCAGTCTTATCTCAGTTATATGCATTGCCAGAATTGACAGCCCTCCTCTTATATAGCAACACTTTGCCCCATTTATTGCTCCAACAGGCAGCTGCCTTTCTCTCTAAGCTCAGTCTTGTCTCTCATTCCTACCCTATCCTCACGTCATTAATATGGCTTGACTATTTGTGCTAATACGCACTAAAAATAAAATTGTAATAATCAGTTTATAGGAGAGTAAAAACAAGTCTCCTTTGTCTACTGGGTCTTAGTATGCCCATAGATAAGCATTTATCCTTGTACAAAGGGGCATAGACATCAACTTCTATCAACCACCAAATTCTTATCATTCCTGACATCAAGGGCAGGGATCATCTCTCTAGGACAGCATAAACCATAAACTCCTGTTCCAAAAAGTGTTCTCTCAGTAAAGATTTTCTTTTCAGCTGGCTTCTATATAAGATGCTTTTATGGAACATTTCAATGAAAGGATTAAAGACATTAGCTACCCAAGATGGTTAGAGCATTGTGATTAGGAAAATAAGAGGAGTTTCATTTGGAAAACTAGTTTTTAAAGACATTAACATAAAAAGAGATGGGTAAGATTAAGAAAGATTAGGAAATATTAATAGTACCCAGAGAGAAGTGATAGCTATTTCTTATTGTTATCTAAGGCTGACCCTGAAGCAAACATTCTGACAGGTCAATGAACTATTTAAATGATGCTCACAGATATTAAATGAGTCGAGTATAGAAGTTTTATAGATTCGGAGTGCTTTAGATTTTGGAGGTTTTTTAATATCTATAACTCATTTAATATTTATAAAATTATTATTTATAAATTACTGGGAGATTAGCAAGCTTGCAGAATTATTTCCCTTTTGCCTTTAGACTTGAAACTACTTAATGTATTCACTACACTGATATAAAACAATGAACAACTTTGTTAGAAATTCTTTAATGGTTTTTTCATAACAGATTTCTGAACTCCTTGGCCCATTTGTTATGCCCCATTTCTTACCATCTTTCCCACTATTGCCTTTTGCTTGGCAATGCTGAGCTATCTACAGATCAGGAAATATGTTCTTTCATACTTCCACATCTTTTTTAGATACTGTGTCCTCTGCTTAGAATACCCTCTCCCTTACTTCTACATCCCTTCATTTGACAGTCCAAGCATCAGTGATTCTGTAAACCTCTTATGCTCCTCACCTTCCACCAGCCACCCCAAGATTTCATATTCTCTATTCCCTAACTTTTCTCCATCATACATGGTATCAAATATTCTAGTGAACTCCAATTCCTCATTTACCAGTCTGTGTCCTCTATAGACTACGAAGTCTTCGAATTCAGTGACCTTGTCCTTTTATCACTATTGCTGCTATAATTCATTTTATAGAGCCTAACATATAGTGACCACTCAATGAATATTTGTTGAATGAGTGAATGAGTAGCTAAGACAGTTTTTGAACCCTAGGCCATTGTATTCCAGCTCAGTGTTCTTTCTGCTATATCAAATACCTCTACCAGATAAATACATATTGTAACTATTTACACAATTATTAATAAAGACTATTACTAGAACAAAGAAACTGGTGATACTGTCTTCTTAGTTATATCATATAGGTAAAGAGCATATTAAAGATTTTGTTTTGACTTGTTTATATGATTCAATCATTTTCTCTCACCAGCTTAAAACTACCATTCATTTAGGGGAGAACACATATTATTCATTTATCCATTCAAAAGAAAACATACGAAGACACATCTCCTAATATACCTCTTTTGTCAGTTCATACACTAATTGGTAAAGAAGAGGTGTACAGTCAACTCTGAGAGTATAATTGCCTGAAAAATAAATAAAACACAGAATATTATTTCATACTTCTAAATGAAATTCCATTTATGTTTAATTCTAAATTTATTTTCTAATTTTAAACAAGATATAATGATCTTCAAATCAAAGACTTCATTCCCAAGGAATAAAACCGGGTGGAAATAGTTCAGGAGCAAGAGAGGCTGCACCACATATGTGAATGGAAGAAGGTCTTGGTGGACTTCAGTTGCCAAGGCAGCAGCCCCCATAGTGATTTTAAGAGTCGTTCTTATGGCAGCATGTCTTAGGGGTACTTTGGCAAAGGAAGTGGTAAGGCCATAGCATTAGTTTTTTACTTGTTTAATTCTATGCGATAGTATATACCAAGACATTAGACAAAACATGTGAGTAATTATTATGTTCTAACATTAATTTAAAAATAATTACAATGCAATGAAACCCTAGAGACAGAAATCGCATGTCAGATTCAAAAGGAGTTTGCAGTTCAAAAGGAGTAAGTACAATTACTTCAATTTTTTTGTACAACAAATACAGGAAATATTTCTAGACAAAATATCTGTAAAATCTTTCTTCTGAACTATTTCAGCCAAATTCCATTAATATGTCCATAGTGAAAAATATGTGGTTAATATTAGAGTTTTAAGTAGTAATTTAATATAGGCAAATGGTAAATATATTAAAGAAGTTAAAAGCAATAGCTTAGTTATGAATCATATCAGTTCATATGAATCCTAATTATTTTCTCTGTGGTAAAATGAAAAAGGTATTACTGAGGCATCTCATAGGAAGCGGATATCTGAGGTGATTAATAAGTTAGAATTTATAGGCTTAATGGATGGTCTACTACTCAATAATAAATAAAAATTACTTGAAATAAAAGTTACTTTATGAAAATTTTACTATAAATTGAAATAAAATTTACCTTCTATAGATGAATCTGAGTTGATATAAGCAATGCTTCTCTCCTGGAGTATTTTGGCATTCTCCTGTAGTTGAAGCAAAGTTGTTACTTAATTCACATTACTTACAATTGCGAAAACAAACAAAATAAGCAAATTAATTTTGTGGAAAAGTGGTTTATAAATACCATTCAGAATTAAATATCTATATCTGCCTGTGACCATAATTTCCAAAAAAATGCAGAAAATCAGTTGGTTAACAACAATTATGCAATTAATAAGAGAAATAAGGATACTATGAAGCAACAGCCACTGTTTATAGCAAAAGCAGAGAGCCCTCAGGGAAAAAAATATTTTCAAAGTGCGGCTCCTTGATTCCCTGAATCAGAATATGTAGGGATATGGCTCCCACATTCTAGGGCCCCGCCGTAGATCTACTGAATCAGAACTGCTACAAGTGAGGCCTGGAAATTTGTTATTTTAAAATTATTTTTTATTTTTTATGAGACACAGTCTTACTCTGTTGCCCAGGCTGGAGTGCAGTGGCATGATCTCAGCTCACTTCAACCTCTGCCTTTCGTTCAAGTGATTCTCCTGCCTCAGCCTCGCGAGTAGCCAGGACTACAGGCACGTGCCACCTACATCCAGCTAATTTTTGTATTTTTAGTAGAGACGCGATTTCACCATGTTACCTAGGCTGGTCTCCTGACCTCAAGTGATCCACCCATCCTGGCCTCCCAAAGTGCTAAGATGACAAGCGTGAGTCACTGTGCCCAACCAAACATCTGTGTTTTCTAATGGATATAACTAGCAATTGATTCTTATATACCCTGAAGTTTGAGATCCATTTAGAGTGTATACTCAAGTAAATTTATCATTTCAAAAGTGAGAAATAGAAAATTTCCCTTTGTTTATATTTACTATGTATATGGAGAAGTGAAAGAATAAAAAAGACAAAAAATTAGAGAGGAGGCACACATAAAGACAAAACAAGACACACACACACACACACACACATGCACGCACGCACACACACACAGACGGATCCAAGAAAGATAAAGCAAGACTAATTCACTTACACACAGATGGGAACATGCTGAGAGAGCCCTTCACCTCTGTCTCTCTAGCTTTTTAGCTTTCTAAAATATGTTACAGTAAAAACATTTAAATCTGTGTGTGTTATGGCAAAAATAAAAATGTCACCTCTTTGCACTTGCTTGCATCAGCCAGGTGATAGTTGACTCAATTAAAGAGAAATATAAAATCAAAGGTTCTATTATAACAGATTCATAGTGGAAATAAAGAAAATTCCCTATGTATATTTAAAGAAGGTAAATATGCTGATGAATATAATCAAGAACCTGGCAAAAAACTGGAAACTGTATTGAAATTGTCTTTTAATGCACATGTTTATAAACCAAAGTAAAGCATGTTTATTATTTTATATATTAGATTTATGTTCAGCTGCTGAAATTTAAAAAACAGAAACACAATTACACATTTTCAAAAGCCAATGACCTTCACCCACCACAGGAACAGGAGGAAAAAACCTGAATTAATAAAATTTGATTCATCAAATTAATGTTATAGTTTCAAAATGCATATTAATAATATCAATGTAAAAATAACAATTCACAGTATTAATGTAATCAACAAAGGATTTAAGCTAATGTAAGAGAAAATGAATTAGGAGGAAAGCATTTTTAAAACTAAACACAGTGGCAAGACAAGTATGCCATATTTTAAAGTAGCTCTATAAAATCTGGACTTTATATGATAAACAGCAGATGTTGGAGGGAAGGTTAAGTACTTACACAGTGCACCTACCGAGATATAGCACTGGACCCAGCAATCCCATTACTGGGTATATAACTAAAGGAATATACCATTTGGTTATACCAAAGGAATGTATCATTTTATCATAAAGACACATACACATGTATGTTCACTGCAGCACTATTCATAACAGCAAAGACATGAATTCAACTTAAATGTCCATCAGTGATTGACCTGATAAAGAAAATGTGTTACATATACACCTTGGAATACTACACAGTCATTAAAAGAATGATACTATGCTTTTCTCAGGGATATGCATGGAGTTGAAGACCATTATCCTCGGCAAGCCAATGCAGAAAGAGAAAAGTAAGTATCACATGTTCTCACTTATAAGTGGGACCTAAATACATGGAGACATAGAGGGGAACAACACACAATGGAGACTTTCAAAGGGTGGAAGGTGGGAGAAAGGAGAGGGTCAGGACAAATAACTAGTGGGTACTGGGCTTAAAATAAAACTGGGTGATGAAATTGTCTTTCACTAGTAATATCACTATATTAGTTTCATAGAATCTCAAAAATTACTACATTTGAGTTATAGGTTTAACATTTCAAACTAGGTTTTTCCAAATCCTCTCTTCACCTAGTTTTTAACCTAGTTTTTCCAATAATTTTCAAAATGCTATACATGTGAAAAACTAGGTGAAGTTAAGGTAGAGGTAAAGATGAAGAGAGAAGGGAGCCAACATTTATTGATCACTTAACGCGTGGGTTAAATCAGTTAAAATGGATAAATCACATAGCTACTGTAAGACTCAACAGAATTATTATTACAATTATTATTCTTATTAATACATGATAACATTCTTCTAGAAGAGATGTGATCACAAATTATGTGTTTATGGAGCTTAGTCTTGTAGATAGAGTAAAAGTTTACCACTGGGTCAAGGCAGGCAGGAAATGCCAACTAAACAGATCAGCTCGTGCAGAGTTGTTGAACAGTATGGTAAATCCCCACGACACAGTTTACCTGTGTAACATACCTGCACTTGTACCCCTGAACTTAAAATAAAAGTTTTTTTAAAAGTATATGCTTATCTTTTACAATTAAGAACTTAGAGATTACTTTACAGAGAGACTAAAGGAAGAAGATGAAAGAAAAGGGGCCTGGGAGAGACCCTTAAATATAAATAATTAAGAGCTAGTGACAAATGACAATCAATCGTATCTGAAGAAAATAAACCCCACCTCTGAAGTTGTAAAGCAGACCAATTTATTAAAGTAATTCAATTCACAGAATTATTACTTTATACTTAACAATAAAGCACCTATCTGTTGCAAATGCTAAAGTACACTTACGGTTGCCATTTTACATGGAATCTGTAAATGTGAAAATATCATCAACATATGGCCATCTTAATAGAACATCTTTCATTTTGTCAGATGGAAGAAGTATAAAGAAACTTCAAAAACTTAAAAATTAGCTCCAAGCATCTTTATCAGTTTTTAGATAATTCCCTTATCAAAAACATTTTGCCGATTTTTATTACTTTCTGAGCTTACTGATTTTACTTATTTTTTATAAAACAAATACAAATGGCAACTATAATATTTTGACAAGAGACAATAAGTTTGTTTGTAGTCCAGTAATAAGAGGTTACTGCCAAACTGATGTCAAAGTAAAAACAAACCATTTCTTAAATTCTCTTGAGTCATTCTCAAAACCAAAACTATATTAGGTAATGGAATGTATTTTTAATCATCCTGGGATATGTGTGTGTGTGTGTGTGTGTGTGTGTGTGTGTGTATGTGTGTGTGTGTGTGTGTGTGTGTGTGTATTTATATATATATACATGGTCCCTGTTGACCAAGAAAATAATAAGAACCTTCTTTGTCTTATTTACCTCAGCCCATTCTGTGGAACCCAGAAGTCCAAATTCTTCTGCATCCCAGCTGGCAAAAATGATAGTTCTTCTAGGTCTCCAGCCTGTAAGTATTGTCAACACACATGGTTAGGTACAGCTGCCTAAAAATAAAAGAAAATTAAGTAAGTCACTTTTTGCCATCACCTAGAAAAGAAAAGTTGTTTACCTTTACTCATCAGTTTTCCAAAACTCCGGACAATTTCTTGCAAAACAGCAACCCCACTGGTTGGGTCAATAGCTCCAAATACCCAGGCATCCCGGTGACCTCCCAGAATAACATACCTGTCTGGAAAATAGTATATTTAAAAAAAAAACCTACAACCTTGAATACATTATAAATATTTGTAATTCATGTTTTTAAATAAACATCCTCTTGCTTGAGTTTTCTGTATAAAAGACAAGAAACACTATAAAGTCTTTTTTAGAGTTGTGCAATTTTCCCCAAAATTTAGTACTTTCAAATCAGCCAAAAAAAAAAAAAAACCCCACATCAATTGCTGACTACAATTTATCTTTACTTACTCTTTAATTTTTGTAAAAACAAAATGTTTTTAAAAAATTATCTGACTCACCAGGTTCCATAGATCCTCTGATAGTCCCAATTACATTGTAAATCCTTGTAATTTTATTGATGTTATGAACATGCATTCTAACCTTCCTAGAATTTGAAAAGGAATGAATTACCTACCACAGTGAATTATGTCGAGTTTTTTACCGTGTTTTATTACAAAAAAACTATTTTCGTAATACTGCTTTATTATGATGAAAAGCTGTGCAATAACATCCTACCACCTAAATTCAGTAATTGTTGACACTGTTGAACCATTTGCAAGTAAAGTACAGACATTATGCAAATTTACTTCTAAGCACCTAAGCATGCACCTTGAAGTCAAATTGTAAAAGCTGTTTTGTATTATTTTCTCATAGCTATATTACTTATTTGAAATTAAAAAGATTTCATTATTCAAAATATCTTAGATATTTATTCCAAATTTTAAAAATAAACCTTACAGAAACAAATAAGACAGTCCATTACGTAATAAAGAAAAAAAGTATAAGCATTTTATTTGAATATATCTATTTATATTAAATCCCAGATTCAGTAATTGTCTCCATGATTTTGGAAATGGTATGTAAGTTTAAGAGCTGGCTTAGTGTCACCTACAAAAAACAGAAAACTCTGTTGTTAAATGAGAATTTGGGAAGCTCCTGCTAAAATACACAACTACATAATGACATGTTTCTAGGCCATCCTTGTTGATTCTGATTTGGGTCAGTCTTTTAATATTCATTCATGAGTTACAATCAGCCAAATTAGAAAACTAGAGAAAATACAATCAAGCTCAGCCAGACAGAAAAAAAAAAACTGTTACTCACATTTTATGAATTTAAAATGACATGGGAAATTGCTACTTTCCCCAAGAGAACAAAATTAATCTTCATTTATTCGAAGGGTAGGGAAATCTCAGTTGTTTCTAGTTTGTAATCATTTTTTAATGGAATAATGAATGAGCTGTCCAAACTTGTATATTGTTAAGAACAAATTCTGGCTTCCCCCACCCCACCAAAATATACTCTGCTTCTGGTCTTTAATCCAGTGCAATATTCAACTAAAAGTACCTCAGAGTAAAACTAATCGATGGGTATTCTCGTTTTTCATTTTAAGGCATTAAGTACATGATTTCTTTTTGCTAGCAACAGATAAAAATTAATAACAGAAAAGCGGAAATATTGTTTAGCATGTGTCTCTAAAAATATAAGCCTTGGATACATGATTAGTAAGAAACCCAAATTCGTTGGTGTTGTGTCATTAAATGAAGAAAATTAAGTAAAGAAAAATGCAACGTATGAGGAAGGAAAAATTGATATTAGCCTGAAGAAAAAACATAGGCTATCTGCTAAGATTCTCAAAGTGGCACACTCACATCTTTAATCCTATGTCTTGTGCGTTTTTAGTATTTTTGAGCTCCAGAAGAATATTTATTTGCCATTTTATTACTTCAAACTCATCATGCTTCAAATAAACTGAACTCTAGAATGCAGGCTCCACAGGGAGGAGATTTTTGCCTGCTTTGTTCACTGCTGAATCCCCAGAACCCAGAATGGTGTCTATGGTATAGGAAATGCTCAATAAATATTCACAAAATAAATGAATATGATCCTGTAAAGAAAACTGGAAAAAACTTTGGCTCATCCTTTATTGTCACCTCTACCTGTCAGTATCCTTAACTAGACTATTTTACAGCTCTGTAGACAAAGAAGTTAACTTGTAGAAACATGATAGTAATGCAAATAATTCAAATCCACTGAAATGCACAATCTGTCTAGTAAAGGTTTGCATTCCTTTCCTCATCGTGGGAGATTTGTGGGGGTTCCACTTAGAGGTACAATGGATTCATTTTGCAGAACCAGGTACGGGCAGCTTAAACCCATTCTTCGGATCTTCTTTTGGCTCTCACACATAAATTCTAAGCAACAGTAGAAATTTAACTTTGCTGATACTCTGTATCTCTAGCTTTTATTTTTTCGCTATTGATTTTGTGTTTTATGTTTCTGCTCTGCTTAGGGCAGATTAAGTTATTCCTCACTGGTGGCAGCAATGATTGGGAATTTGCCCTTATGTCTTGTCATTTGATAATATCGGTAAATGAATTAATGGATTATCAAGATTTCTGTGAGGTAAGACGTGAGGGAAACTAGTTTTTAGTTTTGTGGTTGTTTGTGTATTTGTCCACTTTGAGTTAAAACCAATAGAGAATTCTGTGCTCACAGTGAAGGAACACAGATTTTTTATATCTAGACCTAGGAATGTTTATGATTTTGAGTTTACTCTTTGTGACTAAACTTGTAGAACTGAAGTTATATGTTTTCCCTGTCTGTATGTTTCTGTTTGTAAATCAAAAGGCCTTTACCTTTCATTGAGTAAGTTATGTTTTCCTTCCTCTGGAGGATATACACAAATTAGAGAATATAGTCTCTTAAATTAAAAGAATACTGTTCTGATTGAATTTTAGAGATAAATAAACACATATAAATCAAACATTTCTAAACTTATTATAAAAAAAGGAAATTGGACTTCTAATACTTTAAACTTTCTGGAATAAGAGAAATCCTACAGAAACTACAAAAATATTCTGAGAATTCAAATTCACATAGTTAGGGTAAACTGTTAGCAAACAAGACTGATTTAATAATTTTGGTTTAATAAAAGCAGCCATATGATTCATCAGTACTACATTTCCCTCTCCTACCACATTTCAGGCAAATCAAACTTCTTAAAGTTCTGATCATGCTGTGCTATTCAACAACCCTGTACAAGCTGACTTCTCTAGCTGGCATTTCCCGCCTGACTTGACCCAGTGGTAAACTTTTACTCTTTCTGTAAGAATAAGTTCGATAACACACAATTTGTGATCACATCTCTTCTAGAAGAGTGTTATCAAGTATTAATAATAATAATAATTGTAATAACAATTCTATTCAGCCTTACAGTACCTATGTGATCTGCCCATTTTAATTCATTAAACCCACACAGTAAGTGATCAACAAATGTTGGCTCCCTTCTCTCTTCCTCTTTATCTCTCCCTTAGCTTCACCTAGTTTTTCACATGTTTAGCATTTTGAAAGTTATTTGAAAAACTATTTTAAAAACTAGGTGAAGAGAGAATTTTGAAAAACCTAGTTTGAAATGTTAAACCTATAACTCAAATGTAATTTGTAGAAATTTTTGAGACTCTATGAAACTAATATTGCAATATTACTAGTGAAAGAATTCAATTTTTCATTTAGTAAGTACTTTTTAAATAATGTAAAATGATCAGTTGTTTAGTAGTGAAAATGAGAAAAACAGATAAGCAAAATGTACCTAGTAGAATAGTTATCTCAACATGTTTTCATTAAAAATATAAAATTTTTTCAGACTATTAAAGTAATGCCAAATTACCTGAAAGAATGACTCCCTGTAAAGCCAGGTCCGATACTATAACTCACATTAAGGGCTCCCTTCCAGCTGTCATCTGGTGGAGCGATTCCTCCCAAGTGGCTGTCAAAATAAAATGAAAATGGCAGAAAACGTCTGAGTATCACAGTTTCTAAGGATAAATTATAAAGTTTGATGACAATATTTTATTCATATATATAAGAATTATTTGTCATTTACTAAGTGCCAGGTACCGTCAAAAATCTCTCCCCTTGTGGAGTTCATATTCTAGTGAGAGAGTCATACTAAAATCAGTAAGTACAATACATAATATGTTAGTGATATGAACAAAGAAAAAAAATAAAATAGTGATGGCAAATGGCAAGCCCATCTCCTTATGTTTGACCTTAATTATGTGGGAACTTACTGAATCCAAGAAATCTTAAATATAGAAAATAAATGGCTGCATTAACGAGAAAAAATTAATTTGTAAATAAGCTGCTGATTACACAGTAGGCACTCACACAATTATTAAGTTATAATACTCATTTAAAAAATGAGAGTTGGGAGATATGTAAAGAAACATCTATTATAGAATACAATAATTGTTTGCTATATTCTAAATATGGTGCTATTTTATACATATGATCTCATAATAATTCTATCAAGGAGAAATAGTTACTAGCCTCATCTTACAAATAAAGAAATTGAGTCAGAGAAAGTTTAAGTAACTGATCCAAGGTCATGCCTCTGGTAAGTGGGGCATATTGTCATATTCTTATACTGCACCTCGAGTAAAAATATCTAATTAATACCTATGAAAATTCAATTGCTTGAGAAATCTCCAATCAGAATTATCTTTGGACATAGTTTGGTATTTAAGAATTTCATTTGTAGCAAACAGAGCAGTATTTTAGTTTTATTTCTTAGTCACTAAACTGACTACTTTTCTAAAATAAAAATTACAGCTTACTCTGTTATTCCTACTTCAGCACTTATTTAGTTATAAAACTTTATGTTTAACATAAGAATGCCATATAAGTTTCTGATGAGAAAACTGACAACTAGTGAAAAATACCTTAATCATATATCCAACAAGAAAACTATACCGTAATAATATTTCTGCATCATTATATCCAATGGGATGTACAGGTATTTTGGGGATTCCTACTCCTTCTTCAACATCAAGTCTGAAAGTGTATTCTAAAACATCAAATGCATAAATGAAAACAATTTAAAAATCTGAGCGAGAGATATACAGGAATATTTTGCATTACTATTGCAGATTTCCTATTCATTTGCAATTATGCCAAAATTAAAAGTTCCCCCAAAGTCAAACAATTGTTTTACTTAATACATTCTATTTAATAAATCATTTACATTTTAAGGTAGAGATGATCGTTTCCCAAAGTTGTTTCGACATTTCACATAATTCTCTTGATGTTTACAAGAATATTTTAGTTCCTCAAGGATCTCCTGAATCCTTCTTAGAGAAACTTTATTAACCAGATGCTTAGAAAGTGTGTTCCAGATTCTGAAACTATAAATAAATGGGGGGGAAAAAAAAAACAAGGGAACATATGCACTCTTGGTAATAAATGAGAAACACTGTATTCAAATAGTAATGTAATATATTATTATTCGAGGAAGATTGAAAAATATTGCCAACCTTAAAACCTCATTGGAATTGCGGTTTTTAGACAGTGTTAAAGGGACCAAATTTACCTTCATGCTTGAAACACCTTATTTTTTATTCTTCTTATTTTATGTAAATGAAAACACTTTAAAAATAATAAAATGTATAAAACAATAGTTCTATCATGAGATTTTTATTAAAGTAGCTTCACAAGACAACTGATGCTGAAACAAAAATTTTAACAATATAATTACACAGTCAGTCAGTAAGTATATAAGACTTTAATAACACTACTAACTTGACCTAGTTGACATTTATAGAATACTGCAACCAAAAACCGAACACACATTCTTTTCAAGTGTGTATAGAATATATTAGATAGACCATATTCTTGGCCATAAAACACGTATCAGTAAACAGAAAAATCATACAAAGTATGTTTTCTGACCTAAATGGAATAAAATTAGAAATCAATGTTAGAATGATACCTAGAACATCCTCAAATATTTTAAAACATTTATAAATAAATCATGGATCAAAGTAGAAGTGAAAAGCGAAACAGAAAGTATTTGGAACCAAATAAAAATAAAAACACTAAGCCTAGGCAACATAGCAAGACCTATCTCTAAAAATAAAGATTAAAAAATTAGCTGAGTGTGGTAGCACATGTCTATAGTTCCAGCTACTTGGGATGCTGGGGCAGGAGAATCACTTGAGCCTGGGAGTTTGTGATTACAGTGAGCTATGGTTAGACCACTGCACTCCAGCCTGGGTGACAAAGTGGAATCCTTGTCTCCAAAATAAAATAAAACCACAATAAATTAAAATCTGTAGGATGAAAATGAAAACAAAAAAAAAAAGAAAAGGAAAAAAAAATCTGTAGGATGGAGCTCACGTAGTGCTTACAGAGAGAGATATAGCACTAAATAATCCATATTAGGAAAAAAGTTATGCTTCCGACAAATGACATCAGATTCCACTTTCAGAAACTAGAAAAAGAACAAACAAAGGCCAAAATAAGCAGGAGAAAAGACGTGATAAATATCACAGCAGAAATCTAAGAAATAGAAACTGGCTGGGTTCCTGGTGGCTCATGTGTGTAATCCCAGCACTTTGGGAGGCCAAGGCAGGGAGACTGCTTGAGTCCAGGAGTTTGAGACCAGCCTGCATGGCGGAGCAAGACCCATGTCCATTAACTTTAAAAAAAGAAACAGGAAACAAAAAGAATAGTAATGATAATCAATGAAACCCAAAGCTAGTTATCTGAGATCAATCAAAGTAACAAACTTCCAACAAGACCGATCAGGACAAAAGGAGAAGAGTGAATTGCTAAGAATGATGAACGAATCCATCAAGAATGAAGGAGAGAGTATCACTCTAGTACCTGCAGACGGAAGAAGTGTAAGAAAATATTATAAGCCACACTATGCTCATAAATTAACAACTTAGATGAAATGGACAAAAATCTTTGAAAAATGCAAACTACCAAAGCTCACTTGAGAATAAACAGATAACCTGCATAGCCATACACACACACACACACACACACACACACGCACACACATGCGCACAGGTGCACACACACGCGCGCGCGCACACGCACACACGCGCGCGCGCACACACACGTGCACACACACACACACACACACACAAAAGAAATTCAATTTGTAGTGAAAAACAGTTCTACATGAAAAACTTCAAGCCCAAATAGACTCCTGGGGAATTCTACCAAACATTTAAAGATAACATTGAACCCATTCTTTATAAACTCTTGCAGAAAAGTGAAGATTAAATGGTTTCCAACTCATTCTAAGAGGCCAGCATTTCTGTGATACCAAATGACATAGAGACATTGCAAGAAACTAAATCTATTAGTTAATATCCCTTATAACCATAGAAAGAAACACACTTAAGAAAAATATATCAAAAGTTCAAAAAATATAAAAGGATAATACATTGCTACCAAACAGGTTTTAGGATGAGAGGGTTGGATTAACATTAAATACAATCATGTAATTTAACAAAAGTAAATAATAACATATGATCATCTTCACGTACATAGAAAAAGCATTTGGCAAAATCCAATAACTATTCCTAATGAAACCCCTCAGTATATCAGGATAGAAGTAAACTTCCTCAGTGTGAAAAAAGGAATCTGTTAAAAAACCAGAGCTAGCATAATATTTAACAGAGAAAGACTGGATACTTTCCCAGTTGAAACGAATAAAACAAAGATGTCTGCTGTAACAACTTCTATTCAACATTGTACTGGAGTACCTCTATAAATTGTACGTGAAAAGAAAGAAAGAAGAAAACATTTTCTGGGGTTCTAGCCAGTACAGTCAGCCAAAAGAAAGACAAAAAGAAAGAAAGAGAAAAGAAAAAGAGAGAGAGAGACAGAAAGAAAGAAAGAAAGAAAGAAAGAAAGAAAGAAAGAAAGAAAGGAAAGAAAGAAAGAAAGAAAGAAAGAAAGAAAGAAAGAAAGAAAGAAAGAAAGAAAGAAAGAAAGAAAGAAGAGAAGAGAAGAGAGGAGGGAGGGAGGGATGGAGGAAGGAAGGACATGCATCTAGATTGAAAACCAAGAAATAAATTATCTTCATCTACAGATAAAGATATCATTTATATAACAGTGCTGATAGAAGCTCCAAAAACCTAGCAGAATCGATGAGTTTTACAAGTTTGCAGGATACAAGACCAATGTATTTCTTTTAGAAATGGAATAGTGTTTCTGTTTCCTAGTAATGAAAAATTGAAATTGAAACTTTACAATAGCATAAAACTGTGAAATGTTTGTGAATAAATCTGACAAAAGGTGTGCATGATTCATACAGAGAAACTATAAAACATTCCTGAAATAAATTAAAGAATGTAGAGTTATATTTTATTTATGGATCAGAAAATTCAATATTGTTAAGATATCAAGTCTCCCCAGATTTCATTCAATCTCAGTCAAACTCTCAGGAGGCTTTTTGGTGGAAACTGTAAATTAATTATAAAACTCACAAGTTGTAACCTGGAAGATTAACACATCTGTTAGAATGCGGAATTTAAAAGACTGACATACTAAATGTTAGTGAGGACATAGCAAATAGCACACTCATACATTGCTGTTGAAATACAAAATGAGACAACTTCAGAAAACAATTTTAAATTTTCTGCAAAATTTAAATATCTAACTACCATATTATTCAGGCAGTCCACTTCCAAATATTTGCCCGAGAGAAAGAAAAGAATATGTACATGTAAAGTCTTGTACAACTGTTCATTACACCTTTATGTGTAATAGCTAGCCCCCATACCGAAAGCAATCCAAATGTCTATCTACAAGTATAAGAATAAACTGTGGTAATGCCATTCAAAGGAATACTACTCAGCAAACAACAACAACCACCACCACCACCACCACCAAACAAAAAACAACTATTGACACATATGCCAACACGGACAGATATCAAAATAATCATGCTGACAGCAGAAAGCACTATCAGTGGTTGCCTAGCGATTGGCATGAAGCGGGCAGGAAGGGTTGGGAGGGTGAAAATATAAAGAGACAAGAAGAAGCTTTTTTTGGGATAATGGTTACGTTCCTTATTTTCATTGTAGAGATATTTGACATATGTAAGTCTTCAAATTTTATGTTTTAAATAACACAAAAACTCATTTTTTAAAAAAATAGAAATGTATGATACAAAGAAGGATACAACCCCTGGGTAATTCAGCATACCTAAATTATCATTTGTTAAGGGAGCATTGCTTTAGGTACGAGGATCAGTAGTTCTGATCTCTAATAAAGGAAGAAGGAGAATATGAACTGAGTGTTTCCTCCCCATGCCCACATCTCATGAAAATTCAAAACTAAAATAATACAAGAGCAAATGTTTTAAAATTCCTAGCAGCAGTAATCCAAAATGACATAAGTGTACCCCATTTTAGTTTAACATTATTCAGAACATGCTTGCTTTTATTCCTTCTAAAAGGGCAAGGGGTATTTTTGAAAAATTGGAGGGCTGATAGGCTCACCCTTTACCTTTTGCTGGATAGCCTGGAGTGAGTGGGTCACCAGCACCATTCAAATTTAACACATTTCCTCTCTGGGCTGCAGTTCCAGGAAGATTCCATCCTTTGGGATACGGCTGGACCTCTGGAGCAAAATAGTCAGCTGGATCTGAGTACAAGATGATTCCTATGGCTCCTGCTAACACGGCATTTTTAACCTGCGAGGGCAATGTGCGATTCGTAAAGCAGATATGGCAAACAAGTGGCTTATTCATATAAGAAAGACATTAATTTAATAATGGAAGGATATTTAGACACTGCCTTTTACTACACCACTGCACATTCAGTTCTCCTGGCTTTGAACACAATTTACCACCTGTTAAATCTCACAGACTTCCATTAGTTTATGGCAGGTGTCCCCAAACTGCGGCCCCCTGAGGCCATTTATACGGCCCCCCGCCGCACTTCAGGAAGGGGCACCTCTTTCATTGGTGGTCAGTGAGAGGAGCACAGTATGTGGCGGCCCTCCAATGGTCTGAGGGACAGTGAACTGGCCCCCTGTGTAAAAAGTTTGGGGACGCCTGGTTTATGGTATTCTAAACAAGTTATCACTTTTTCTGTGAAACATTTACATTATTCCCCACAACTGTAAAATTAATGTCCCTTGTTTGTGGTTCTATATTTTCTATATTATAGGATAGCTCATAATGCATTAAAATATCTTTTAAATGTCTGTCTCCCTATTAGACTGAGGGTGTTTTTGAAAACATGAACTATGTCTTCTTAACTTTAAACGACTGCCCTCTAAAAGCTTGCACATCACAGAGTAAGCACTCTACAAATATTTGTGTAACTACACTGATTTAAAATTCTATGCAGAGCAGTTGTATTTTTGTGAAAAATGGCCCAGGGTTTTTGTAAACATCTAACAATCCAAACTGGCCAAGAACAGGAAAACGTACCCTGTGAGATAATAAATTCTGCTTCTCCGAAAGTGTTGTAGCAGAAGATGAATAATGGTCTTGATTCATAAAAATGTATTCCAATATTTAGAAAACACTCTGTTTTGTCACTAAGAGTATAATCTGTTGTAACTTTTTTGATGGAAAATTGATGTCTATCAAATTTTTCAAAGAATATACACCATTATTTAGCAATATAACTTCTGGAAATCTATACAACAATAATCTTCACACAAATTTTTTAAGTATATATGATCAAGGATGTTCACAATGAAATTATTTGTAGTAGTAACAAATTCAAAATAAGACAAACATTATCAGTAGAATGGTTAAATACATTGTTTATCAATTCTGTGAAATACGATGCCATCATTTAAAATAGTAAGGTAATTAATAAGCAGTTATGTAGAAATTACTAAGTATCAGCCACTATCCTAAGTCCTTTCAAACAAAGTCATTCAATAAAGACTCTATGAGATGGGTGCTATCATTGGCATTTGCATTTTATACATGAGGAAGCTTTGCGACAGAGAAGTAAAGTGACATACTCACAGTAAAAGATCTAGAATCAATAGAAGGCAGACTAGACCAGAACCCAAGCGATACAGATCTAGGGGTTCTATACTCTTAGCCAGTGTATTACATAACTCTCAATATGGGGACATGAAGAATATGAGTCATGGCTGAATGAAAAAAATAAAGCCATGTAAAAGACAGTGTATAATGCCCTCTTTGTAAAAGTAGATAAATAAATATATGTAAAATGGGCATATAGGGACAGAGCTATTTATATTTCACAGAATTAGGTTTGAAAAAGTTATTAAGATTAATTATATTTGGACAATGAAGCAGGTAAAGCAGGGGAGCTTTTCATTTTTTACTGTATCTAAATTTTCTTCAATTAAATTTCTAAAGGCAAATACGGCTTTCGTAATAAAAATGATTAAAAATAATTTTCTTTTCCAAGTATGTGAGAAAACATAAAAACGTGAGTTTCTGTGTACTCACGGCAAATAGGGAAAAAAAGAAAATAAATATTTGAAAGCTATTTTGGAAACTGAGAAGCAAGTTGGTCATTTACACTTACAAAACATATATATATATATATATATATATATATTCTCTTATTCTCTCTAGAAAAATAATACTGTACTTTATTTCCTCTGAAGATTTTTCCATATCTGGCAATAACAATCTTCCCAGTACAGTTGATGCTCATCTCTCTTTCTAGTTTGAAGAAGTCTTCAGTGCGAGCATAGTTCACATATACAAGATCTCCCTATAGGGAAAATAAAATACATATAATACTGCTAAAATTAAAGAAAAAAATAAGTTTGCTTCACAATACTACATCATTGAAAGTGTCTCCTTTCTTTATTTGGGGAATAATAATGGTAATTATGCAGAAGTCATTAGAGAATCTTATAAAATCCTGAAAAGATTTTAAAAATGACAACGTATAACATTTATTTGTTATTTTGGGGATGGAATTTCACTCTGTTGCTCAGGCTGGAGTGCAGTGTGCTATCTCTGCTCACTGCAACCTCCCTCACCTCCTTAGTGCAAGCAATTCTGCCTCAGCCACCAGAGTAGCTGTGATTACAGACATGCACGATTACACCCAGGTAATTTTCATATTTTTTAAAGAGTAGAAACAGGGTTTCACCATGTTTGCCAGCCTGGTCTTAAACTCCTGACCTCCAATGATCCGCCCACCTCAGCTTCCCAATGTGCTGGGATTGCAGGCGTGAACCACCACACCCAGCCAGACATATTTAATCAGTATGTTCTGTTTTGAAGAAATAAGTGTATACTAAGCACAGCACGTGGAGTAAACAAATGTCATTTTAAAGATCCTAACTATATTCAATTTCCAACTATTGCATTCATTTAAGAAATTCTATGATTTGATCTATAAGATTATATCCATGAATCCATAAAAAATTCATATTATGAATAATGGAAAGAAGCTTGTAAAAACACCTACTGCCCTCACTAAATTAAAGGCGTTTTCAGCAGTTTCTTTGTTATTTCAAAGAGTGGCATCTGCTTCAGCAGGGTCTATTTTTAATGTATTTGTTTTGTTTCTTTTTTCTCTGTCTTGTGTTTTTTTCTATTTTATCTTATTACTATTTTTTAAATTTGGGGATGAGGTGTTGATAGTACAGAATATCAAACAATTGGTTTTAGTGCTCTATACAGCTTTTAGATAGCAAAAGAACCATTTAAAAACTTGAATTAAAGTGTATTTTATTTTACCTCTGGCATGCCCTGGGCTGAGAAAGCATTATATGGTGGCACAATATTTGTAACATTCTCATATCCATCTGGTGGTGGTTCGAGGTATGATGTTTTGAAAATCTAGTAAGAATTAGAACATGTCATGTGGGAGAGAAAAATTCCCGATTATTATTAAGGTATAATTCATTTGGCCTCCAAGAATACGCTTCACATTAAGCATTCTGGAACTAGGTTCTATAATCAAACAGATAAATTACACCCACAACACTGAGGAAGAGCCTTACCATCATCAGTGTTCTCCTAATAACAGAAACTTTTATAAATGCATGCAATCCCAGATAACCAAAAATTTCCTTATAAAGCGTAACAGCAGGGCTGATCCTCTTTCTTTGACTATGCCTTTTCAGTTTCCTTTGTGGGCTCCTTTTCTTTCATCTTTATTTAAATAATATTAACCAAAGTTTTATCCCCAGCCCATCATTTGCCTCTATACTTCCTCCCTGTGATACCTGACTATCAAAATTTTACCAATAGCTAATATGCTTATGATGTTTACCTTTCTAGATTCATTTAAATGTTTGATGGTTATTTCATTTTGGATGTCCAAACTCAACATGTTAAAATTCGTACTTATCATCTCCCACCCCTGAGCCTGCTTTTGGTCTGCATTTCCTACCTCTGTTTACAGCTTCGGTCATTAGTCACCACACATGACAGTCTAGGAGTCATCCTGAACTCTCTCTTCCCCTCCTTCCCCAAGTCAATCACTAATCAAGTCCTGCTAATACATTTCTATACTATTTCTGACATCCATCCCTCTTCCTCATTCTTACTAACTTCCTAATTTAAAACTTTATTATCTTTTACCTGGACAATTGTCTTAAGATTACAAATTTTTTTTTTTTTTTTTTTTTTGAGACGGAGTTTCACTCTTGTTACCCAGGCTGGAGTGCAATGGCGCGATCTCGGCTCACCGCAACCTCCGCCTCCTGGGTTCAGGCAATTCTCCTGCCTCAGCCTCCTGAGTAGCTGGGATTATAGGCACGCGCCACCATGCCCAGCGAATTTTTTGTATTTTTAGTAGAGATGGGGTTTCACCATATTGACCAGGTTGGTCTCGATCTCTCGACCTTGTGATCCACCCGCCTCGGCCTCCCAAAGTGCTGGGATTACAGGCTTGAGCCACCGCGCCCGGCAAGATTACAAATTTAACCCCTTGCCTAGTCTAGGTGTAATCTACAGATGGCCCCATCTATCAGAAATGACTCTCCAGCCACATCCTTCCCCTGCTCAAGACTGGTCATTGGCTCCCACGAACTGAAGCTGAAGTTTAAGCTCCTTAGGACAGCATACAAGCCCTTCTGTGATCTGTTCCCAGAACCTAACTACTGCTTTATCTCATATCATGGCCCACTTTGTATTTTACACTTTTGAAATACAGAAAATCATTACATTCTCCCAATAACACTAAGCTAGTACATGCCTCCAAGCCTTTGCCAAAAGTTTGTCTTTTGTTGAGAATTCTCTTAGCTTATTTTGTCATGTGGTTAACTCCTTATGCCCTTCCATGACTCACATGTCAAGACTTCAGGAAACCTTCTTTAACTCCCAGGCTGGGCTGAGTGACCCTTTTCTGGGTAAATAATGAACTCTGATAATATCCTTCATAGCACTTATCAGACAAATTTGAAGTCTGAAATATTCCATTGTCTGCCTCACCTTACTTAGACAAAGGAACCATGTCCTGGTCTTCATTCTGGCCTCAGGACTTAACACCATATCTAGACACATAGTGTACACAGAATAATTCACTATTAACAAATTTCTGCTTTTACTTCACCCTACATTACAATCCACACAAAGCAGCTGGACTGTAAAATACAAAAAGTACCAACGATTTCACATTACCTCAATGCCATGTTCATTCACAGTCGAGATATAGTTGGCATTTGTCTCATTGGGGTAAGATAAGAGGACATCATAATGAACCAATTTGGCTGAATCTAGTCCAAATTTCTTCCACTGGGTTTGGATTTTCTTGGCAAGCAAGAAATTTTCTTCTGTTCCCGCCAGATGAGGAAGCTTTGTAAAAGAACTAAAATGAAAACAGAATATAATAGAGGGTTAAAGACTATGCTCAGACGAGGTGCCTAAAAACTATTCTAAACGCACTACTTACACTTTGGGCATTATCATTTCTACATGACAGATACAAGAAAATCAGCTAGTGTTATCAGTTTTTAGATAGGCCAATTTTTAAATTATTTATATACAACTATAGTGTTCATATTACGCTTCCTCAGAAAAGAACACATTTCATGGTAAACACCATCAGCAGAGGCTCAGATACGAGAAGATACCCTGGAAGAATGTCCTATTTCTATACCAATAATGTTCCTTTTTGCTGTTTATCAGAAAACAAAGACATTTTGGGAAAAGAAAATAGATGTTAATATCTCACAGGGAGCACGTGGGCACTTCCACGTTTAACTTAAATAGTTCTGTAACCGGGTTTTTGGGGTGCTGGTGAGGCACAGCTCCCCGGAGAGAATGTTATAAGTTCTTGGTCTCCGAGAGGGCGCGGTAAGCTGGTAAAGGTGCGTGGTAACCTTGTAAGGTAAATACCAGACCCAAGAAGTGTTGCAGAAAGGTGATTTTACTTAGGTGGGGAGTAAAAAAGAGGAGAAGACAGAAACTTCCACGGAGAGTGTGGAAGGGGACTCCAGCGGGGAAATCCAGGAGGGGAAACAGAGCTCCTGCTCTGCGGGAAGGGATTCCAGAGAGCTGGAAATCCCGGGAGGGTCAAGCAGCAGGGGAATTTATCCTGGGAGACGAAAGGAGTTCCTTTAAGCTTTGGCTGGGGTGACTGAATCTTAGTTTCTTCCTGTGCCCGTGAAATTCAAACATAAATAGTTAAATCTCGCGGATGGAGAGAGCTGGGAGGGGGTCATGGCACTGGGAAGTTCTTGAGCTGAAAACTACGCCCCCTTGTGGACCCGGGAAGAGAACACATTCCCTCATTTCTAACTTGATTGTATCATGTATTTCGATGCCTTTTTTTTTTTTTTTAATCTCATTGATGTCAAGCTCCATGTATTTTTATTTTTAATATCCTCTAGTGCTTAGTTCTTGCCTTTACCCAAAAAGTACAGGCTTGCTGAATTTAATTTGGGCAGTGTACTCTTGGTTCTGGATGTAAATAAGTTGGAACATTTAAGTGACCTCACAAACATAGTTCTTAGTGAGATTTATTTTACTTGAGGTGAATAATATTTTCAAAGTCCCCGGCTGGACACAGTGGCTCACGCCTGTCACCCCAGTGCTTTGTGAGGCTGAGGAGGGTGGATCAACTAAGGTCAGGAGTTCAAGATCAGCCTGGCCAACAGGGTGAAACCCCATCTCTACAAAAAAATGCAAAAAATTAGCCAGGCATTATGGAGGGCACTTGTAACCCCAGCTACTTGGGAGGCTGAGGCAGGAGACTCACTTGAACCCAGGGGGTGGAGGTTGCAGTGAGACACTATCGAGCCACTGCCCTCCAGCCGGGGGGAACAGAACAAGCCTGTCTGAAAAAAGAAAAAGGAAAAAATTCAAGTACCCCAACCATCAGTAGAGCAAAAAGAAAAAATAAATCCCTTAAAAAAATTTTTTTTTTTTTTTTTTTTTTTGAGACGGAGTTTCGCTCTTGTTACCCAGGCTGGAGTGCAATGGCGCGATCTTGGCTCACCGCAACCTCCGCCTCCTGGGTTCAGGCAATTCTCCTGCCTCAGCCTCCTGAGTAGCTGGGATTATAGGCACGCGCCACCATGCCCAGCTAATTAAAAAAATTTTTTTTAATTAACCAAATGACAGCCACAAAATATAGGGCAGTAGAAGGAAATTAACATTTATTAAAAACCTGCTGTATGACAAGCACTCATGGGCACTTTCACATGTTTCTCATTTAATCATCACACTCCTTCCATCATGCAAATGAGGAAACCCACAGAGTGGCTGAATAATAATCTACTCATAATTTCGCAGCTAATAAATGCTGGAACTGGAATCCAAAACTGTAGTTATCTGATCCTGAGAAATAGCGATATTTCTAAATAATTCATCTGCTCTTATTCTCCATGTGCTTAAAATTATTCTACAACTCCCTATACCCTGCATTATCAAGTTCACAGGCCAACATGTCATCTATAACACTTTTAGGTCAGGTCCTCTCTTCTGCCTTTTCAGATTAATTTCCCATCACTCTCCTACAAACTTCTCTGCTCTCTGTCATTGAGTATATTATTTTTCTCCTAAAATTATCATGATCTTTAATACCTTTTAGCCCTTGCACAATGTCTTATCTCAGACAAAAATATTGTCCTACGTACTAGAATTTTCCTCTATCACCACTGCTACTCATTCTCCTTTCTCACTTGCAAACTATTAATCATTCATAAGGCCTCTTCAAGCATCACCTTCTCTGAAATGTCTTTCTCTATGTCACAAAGTGAAAACTGCAGGTAGCAGATGTTTAATTTCTTACCATATTTGTTTTTAAAAAGTACAAATGTGTTCAGACAGACGGTATTTTATATGTGCAGGAATAAGAAAGCACAAAGGCTAGTGATATTTAATTTCTACTTTATACAATTCATTATTTTCGTTCTTACAAAAAGCAGATAGGATTAGAAAAATCATACATATTTCCTTAAATTAGGAGGGAGGATTAGCCATGAATTTTTTTGCCTCCCATCTTTTCGAGAACCCCCTGAAATGAAATAGAAAAGTATAGAAAAAGAGTAGGAAGGTGTAACATCCTAGAGTTTCTCTGTATGATCCCAAGATGAGTATTACAGCTCCAGGTATACAAACTCAGTAACTTCGGGAGAAGGAAGTACAAACTAGAACAACTATTCCTTCTTTTGTGTTTAACAAAGGAACATTTTTGTAGGTGATCTTAGCTAAGTTTTTCTCCCATGTTATTAGGCAAAATCGGGTCATTTACCCCTTCTCAAACCAATCATTGCCAGATGGTAGATAATTATAATGATTGGCTTATGGAGTAATCAAGAGATTCCTGGGGTGGGAGGAAGGTAACCCTCCCTGAATACATCCCCTCCCAAGGGAGGGAGAACACTCTGAGTTGAGGTTATATTAATAAGAAGGTGGTTGGGAGGAATAAAATCATTCCCACCATTAAACCCTTTAACCCAATCTTCAAGCCCTCCTTTGCCTTCTAAACTCTTCTGCTGTGTTCATTAACCCTTTAGATCTACACTCAACAATTCACCTGTATCTGCAGCACCGTCTCTGAATATTTCATTGACCTCCTTGTCTTAACTGGTTTCCTCTGAGGACCCTGCTCACCTGCAGGGTGTTTTATTTTCCATGACCCCAACATATCTCGCGGCTAAAGTTCAGCTAGGAGGCCTTCTTATTCTCCATTGGTTCTTTCAAATATATCTTTTTCTTCTTTCAAAACTAGCAGCCTTTTGTTTTGTTTGTTTTTGAGACAGAGTCTTACTCTGTCGCCAGGCGCCAGGCTGGAGTGCAGTGGCACAATCTCGGCTCACTGCAACCTCTGCCTCCCAGGTTCGGGCAATTCTCCTGCCTCAGCCTCCTGAGTAGCTGGAACTACAGGCACACACCACCACCACGAGCTAATTTTTATATTTTTAGTAGAGTCAAGGTTTCACCATGTTGACCAGGATGGTCTCGATCTCTTGACCTCGTGATCCACCCGCCTCGGCCTCCCAAAGTACTGGGATTACAGGCTTGAGCCACCGCGCCGGCCCGGAGCTTTTTTGAAGCGTACACCAAAAGTCACCACCCACTACACCTTCTAGGTGCTGTCATCTACAAAACTGTGGGTCATGCCTCTTCATTCATTAAAAGTTGGAAGCCCCTAATATGCTGTTATTTCCCTCTATCCCTATTCTCGTAATCATTCTTGGTGTATAATTTTTGTATTTCGTTGGATTCGAAAGAAAGAAAAAGCAACACCAACAAGATATTTAATCATCGTGAAAAGTATTCAACGATTGCTTATGAACTTATGCATATTATACACTAAAGCATAATACTAGTAATATAAATCGATTATTTTAATGTTTAGTCAAGAGCATTATAGTATTTTACTTCTGATGCCTCATGTCATGTTCTAGGACCTTTCATTTGGACACCTGATGATATGCTGCAGAGTTCAGTAGTGTTAACATCCTACCTGGCCTTTTAAGTTAAGCAAATTTAAATGTAAGCACTCTGTCTCGCTTGGTAAGACATTCATGGCTGGGCGTGGTGACTCACGCCTCTAATCCCAGCACTTTGGGAGGCTGAGGCAGGTGGATCACCTGAGGTCAGGAGTTCAAGATCAGCCTGGCCAACATGGTGAAACCTTGTCTCTACTAAAAGTACAAAAACTAGGTAGGCATGGAGGTTGGTGCCTATAATCCCAGCTCCTCAGGAAGCTGAGGCAGGAGAATCACTTGATCCCAGGAGGTGGGGTTGCAGTGAGCTGAGATTATGCCACTGCACTTAAGCCTGGGCAACAGAGCAAAACTGTCTCAAAACAAATAAACAAACAAACAAAACCCCAAACACTGCCATTCTATTCCATTGCAGGAACTATGCATATAGAATGAATCTCTTCACGTGATGTTCATCCCACTACCTACTCATTCTTTTCCTGTATCATCAAAAAATCACCTCAAAACAGATATTTTGGATTAGCCTCTTAAATCTGATGTGCCTTGATGATAAATAAGCTCAAATTTTATAAGAACAGTATAGCTGTTTTTATTCCTCATTATAATAGCTCACTCTAGTTTATCCATAGACACCAACATGGAACCTTGTGATCTCAGCAAACCACAGCACAGACTGGCAGAAAATAGAGATCGTACTCAGCTTATGATGAGGTTATGTCCCTATAAACCCATCGAAAGTCAAAAGTATTACTAAATTGAAAATGCATTTAATACTCTGATAAATCCATCATAAAGTTGAAAAATTCTAAATCAAACCAACGTAAGTCAGGGATTATCTCTTAACTGTGGTGTATGCATTTCCCTGGCTATATTTGTCTCTAGGGTTTAACTGGAGTATCAGAAGAAGAGA